CTACTACTTACTACTACTTACTACTACTTACTACTACTTACTACTACTTACTACTACTTACTAGTACTTACTACTACTTACTACTACTTACTACTACTTACTACTACTTACTACTACTACTACTACTACTACTACTACTACTACTTACTACTACTACTTACTTACTACTACTTACTACTACTACTTACTACTACTACTTACTACTACTACTTACTACTACTTACTACTACTTACTACTACTTACTACTACTTACTACTACTTACTACTACTTACTACGACTTACTACGACTTACTTACTACGACTTACTTACTACTTACTTACTACCACTGACTTACTACCACTTACTTACTACCACTTACTACCACTTACTACCACTTACTACCACTTACTACCACTTACTTACTACCACTTACTTACTACCACTTACTTACTACTACTTACTACTACTTACTACTACTTACTACTACTTACTACTACTTACTACTTTACTACCTACTTACTCCTACTACTTACTCCTTACTTACTACTACTTACTACTACTTACTACTACTTACTACTACTTACTACTACTTACTACTACTTACTACTACTTACTACTACTACTACTACTACTTACTACTACTTACTACTACTTACTACTACTTACTACTACTTACTACTACTTACTACTACTTACTACTACTTCTACTACTACTACTACTACTACCACGACCACCACCGCAACAACAACAACAACTACTACTACTACTACTACTCCTGCTGCTGCTACTACTACTGCTGCTGCTGCTACTACTGCTCCTGCTGCTGCTACTACTGCCACTACTGCTACTACTGCTACTGCTGCTGCTGCTGCTACTACCACTACTACTACCCACCACCACCACCACCACCGCTGCTACCATAACAACAACAACAACAGCAACAACAACTACAACAAGTACACGTATACAACTAAAAATACACACAACACTACATTCCACTAATTACAACTACAACTACACTACTTCACACACACTACACTAGACTGCGCTACACTATGCTACACTACGTTACACTGCACTACACTACACTACATTACACTACACTACTTTACAACTACAACTGCAACTCCAACTCTACCACACTACACTACAACTACAACTACAACTGCACTACACCACACTACATCCAGCAGTTGTGGGTGAGGTGACCACTGCAACTATTGCAACCACTCCAAAAAACACAACTCCATCCACCTTTCGGTCCATCAGTGGATTCGCTCTGCAATCCGTGGTTCACAACAACTTACCTCTCCATAGGTTTCCTATTCTTGAAATTTCCGCCACTGCCTTGTGCGGTACTACTGGTAATAAACCATCTCCCAATCATCACCATGTTGATAGGGGGTATATATATAATATATATATATATAAACCATTCCCACTCATGGGTGGTTTATGGCATTTGTTTTACCCACATTACTAACATCAATGGCTATATGTTTTTCTCCCATTCGCAATGGTCATGACTTGTTCACAAGTGGTTTATGGCATTGTTTTACCCACATTACTAACATCAATGGCTATATGTTTTTCTCCCGTTCGCGATGGTCATGACTTGTTCATACGTGGTTTGTGGCATTGTTTTACACACATTACTAACATCAATGGCTATATTTTTCTCCCATTCGGAATGATCATGACTTGTTCACAAGTGGTTTATGGCATTGTTTTACCCACATTACTAACATCAATGGCTATATGTTTTTCTCCCATTCGCAATGGTCATGACTTGTTCATACGTGGTTTATGGCATTGTTTTACCCACATTACTAACATCAATGGCTATATTTTTCTCCCATGCGGAATGATCATGACTTGTTCATAAGTGGTTTATGGCATTGTTTTACCCACATTACTAACATCAATGGCTATATGTTTTTCTCCCATTCACAATGGTCATGACTTGTTCATACGTGGTTTATGGCATTGTTTTACCCACATTACTAACATCAATGGCTATATTTTTCTCCCATTCGGAATGATCATGACTTGTTCACAAGTGGTTTATGGCATTGTTTTACCCACATTACTAACATCAATGGCTATATGTTTTTCTCCCATTCGCCATGGTCATGACTTGTTCATACGTGGTTTATGGCATTGTTTTACCCACATTACTAACATCAATGGCTATATGTTTCTCCCATTCGCAATGGTCATGACATGTTCATAAGTGGTTTATGGCATTGTCTTACCCACATTACTAACATCAATGGCTATATGTTTTTCTCCCATTCGCAATGGTCATGACTTGTTCATACGTGGTTTATGGCATTGTTTTACCAACATTGCTAACATCAATGGCTATATGCTTTTCTCCCATTCGCAATGGTCATTACTTGCTCATAAGTGGTTTATGGCATTGTTTTACCCACATTACTAACATCAATGGCTATATGTTTTTCTCCCATTCGCAATGGTCATGACTTGTTCATACGTGGTTTATGGCATTGTTTTACCCACATTACTATCATCAATGGCTATATATGTTTTTCTCCCATTCGCAATGGTCATGACTTGATCATACGTGGTTTATGGCATTGTTTTACCAACATTACTAACATCAATGGCTATATTTTTCTCCCATTCGCAATGGTAATGACTTGTTCATAAGTGGTTTATGGCATTGTTTTACCCACATTACTAACATCAATGGCTATATGTTTTTCTCCCATTCGCAATGGTCATGACTTGTTCATGCGTGGTTTATGGCATTGTTTTACCAACAATACTAACATCAATGGCTATATTTTTCTCCCATTCGGAATGATCATGACTTGTTCATACGTGGTTTATGGCATTGTTTTACCCACATTACTAACATCAATGGCTATATTTTTTCCCATTCGCAATGGTCATGACTTGTGCATACGTGGTTTATGGCATTGTTTTACCCACATTACTAACATCAATGGCTATATGTTTTTCTCCCATTCGCAATGGTCTGACTTGTTCATACGTGGTTTATGGCATTGATTTACCCACATTACTATCATCAATGGCTAAATGTTTTTCTCCCATTCGCAATGGTCATGACTTGTTCATACGTGGTTTATGGCATTGTTTTACCCACATTACTAACATCAATGGCTATATTTTTCTCCCATTCGCAATGGTCATGACTTGTTCATAAGTGGTTTATGGCATTGTTTTACCCACATTACTAACATCAATGGCTGTATGTTTTTCTCCCATTCGCAATGGTCATGACTTGCTCATACGTGGTTTGTGGCATTGTTTTACCAACATCACTAACATCAATGGCTATATTTTTTCTCCCATTCGCAATGGTCATGACTTGTTCATACGTGGTTTATGGCATTGTTTTACCCACATTACTAACATCAATGGCTATATGTTTCTCCCATTCGCAATGGTCATGACTTGGTCATAAGTGGTTTGTGGCATGTTTTTTCGCTTGACCCCTCCATTTGTGTTGGGTTAATCCAGCTATGTAAGTCTTTTCATAGGGAAAACCATGGTTTCGGGTTTCGATTTTCCCAAAACCCATCCATTGAGTGCCGGTGATCACCGTTGATTTCGCCCCTGCCTTCGCCGTGCTGGGCCACCTGCGCCTCGTGCTGCTGACCTCGCAGCTGCCGCAGCGACAGGGCGCAGTCGGAGTCGCAGGTCTCCAGGTCTAGAGAATCAAAGCCTTGGTTGAGGATTGGTCATATGGAACTGGTCATATGCATATATATATATATATGTGCATGTATGTAAATATATATACATATGTATATTATTAGTGATAATTGACATCTAATAGTGATAATGAGTGATAGTTATTACTGATATTATTATATATACCTGGTTGGTGGTATACCGACCCCTCTGAAAAATAGTAGTCAGTTGGGATGATGACATTCCCAATGTGTGGAAAAATAAGAATTTTCCAAACCACCAACCAGGGAAATATGATGGGGAATGATGGGTATATAATAGGTTAATGGATCATTCATGGATTATTTTCATGGATTGTGAATGGAACATATATGAAAATCTCATGGGGATATGGATTATTCATGGAGTATTCATGGGTTCATGGATTATACAAATGACTTATCATAATGATGTATATATATATATATAACCATATGGGGATATCATGGGGAGTCTTCATTGGAGAACTCCCCCAAAACTGAGCTATAACCGCCTTGGTGCTGCGTCATTCAAGCCCTCAACAAACCCCAACTCCCTCCCATTTAGCTGTGACACTCAAGGCAAGGCCGACAAAAAAACATGAAAGGATGGCGCGAAGCGGGAATCCCATGGCTTTTTTATAGAGACGAAAAGCGCTGTTGGCAGAGTCGAGTACGTACTCGACTACGTGTCTAAGTTCAAGCACTCAAATGGCTGCAGGTTGCGAAGTCCAAAGGGGTTTGTCGTGCTGAAGAGTTCTTCATTCCATCAGAGATATACCGTCCGGTAAACTAACAGTTTGCTATTGAAAATGGCCCATTTATAGTGAGTTTTCCCATTAAAAATGGTGATTTTCCATAGTTATGTAAACGTTTACCAGAGGGTACCCTCCGGTCATCAAAGGTGGCATTGGAACATCCGTCCACTGATGATTGTCCCATTCAACCCTTCAGTGGGGCTTTGATAGGCTGCCACATTTGATTAGCAACGGGATTTCTTGTATCCCAAGTATGGTTGGTCATGTCGAACTCCATTTCTGGGTGAAACACCAGGGTCGAGATTCCCATGTTTATCATCCATTTTTATGGGATCTAAACACAAAAGCTTTACAAACCATCTGGCTCTGACAAAGGAGCTACCCTCTGGTAATTTAACAGTTTGCGAACTTGAAAATGGCACATAGAAATTGTGGATTTACCCATTGAAAATGGTGATTTTCCAGTTCGTTTTTTGTATGTTTGCCAGAGGGTATCTACACTCCTGGCCAATGAAGCCATTTCGATTCCATAGCTGTGTCAAATTACCAGAGGGTATATATTTATATATAAATATACCCATATGCGAACCATGGTGCTGGTATATTTACCTACAAAACTGGGTCATTTATGGGGTAAATGTTGGTAAATATTCCAGCACCATGGGTTGCATATGGGATATATACATATTATATATAATTTATATGTATATATATAAATACCCAAATAAAACTCAACTTCGCTTAGGGATTATGTTTTGGGCAGATCTTAACCACCAACAATCACCTGGAAAAGTTCGGCCATTGTTTGGGAGAGTTTCCCCGAATCCGAATCCCATCTTTCCAGGGTTCGGTCGTGATCAAATTTGGACACCATCAATGGCAACCATTTTGGGATAGTTCCCCCCAATCCCTATAGTTCGAATAATTATTGATAAATATAAACGTAATTGGATCAAACTTGCCATCATTGATAATTCATCATATTTTGATTCAAGGGATAGATTATGAATCATTATATACTTCCCATAAGTGAAAGAATAATAATTATTACTTATTTTATTTTGAATAATTATATACTTCCCATATGAATAATCCCATTCATGAATCCGTTATTCATCATCATAATAGTTAATGGGTTACTATCCCCATTTCCCACCACTGTTATTATGATCACTATTATTATAGATACTATTACTATATACTATTACTATTACTATCACTATTTAATGGGTTGTACTATATTATCCATATGGTGTTATCCATTCTATTGACGATATAGTTCCATTAATGGGTTAATAAGATTATTATCACTATTATTATAGATACTATATACTATTAAACTATTACTATTACTATTTATGGAATATATGTGGTTGATATTATACTACACTATATACTATAAAACTAATATTACCCACAGGCACCTTGTGTTGCCCAAGCCCAGAATAGCGTAAATTACAAGGATTTTTTGTTCACACTATACATCTCATATAAATTCTCCCACCCCCGTTAAACTTCTACATTCATTGAAGATCTTCAATGAGGGTTCAATTCTCCCAACTCCGTTAACCTCTTACATTCATTGAAGATCTTCAATCATCATCATCATCATCATCACCATCATCAACATGCCGGGAACGTCCCTGTAAATCTCCGGGCAACACAAGGCGCCTGGCCGTAATATTACTATCACTATTACTATATATAGTTAATAGAAAATTACTATATATTACTATATTACTATCAGATCACTATTATTATATCACTGTTATACTATATCATAAATTATATCCTATTATTATTATTATCACTATTATTATTATCACTATTATATTCATAGAAATCACTATTATTAATTACTAATATAGTAGTAGTAATAATTCTGATATATTAAATATATTATCACTGATTATGGAGTAATATCATAATTATTCCATTATATCACTATTAGTCAATTGGTATGATTATTGCCAATATATGGCAAAAAATGTTCCAAACCACCAACCACGAATTATTAATTGCTATATATATACTAATTATGGAACCCCTCATACCCTCTGGTAATTTAACATAGCTATTGAAAATGACCATTTATAGTGAGTTGTCCCATTAAAAATTGTGATTTTCCATAGTTATGTTAGTTTACCAGAGGGTAATGTTAGTTTACTATTAATATTAATAACTTATTATGTTCCATATTAGTACCACTTATTATTACTCAAATGTTCCCCATATATTTTCCCATCCGGTAACGGAATCCACCGTGCTAACTGACCATCACTTCCCAGCATCGCCAAGGCACAGGAGCCTCCGGCACTCCCGGGTGGATCACCGCCTGGAGCGGGGCAAACACGGGGAAAACCAGGGAAAACACGGGGAAAACCAGGAAAAAACCATGGAAAATATGGGAAAAACCATGAACAAATATGGGAAAAAACATATGTGGGTTTAAGAAATTCATACCAACTGAAAGTTTAAAGAACTCTTGGTTTTGTGATGTTTTGTGAAATGGCTTTTGATGAAGGGACATAGGGGGTTTGAGAAGGAAGGAACATTGGGGCAACAACAGAAATTGGGCTTTTCTATGGGCATTGGACCAGCTGCAAAAAAAACGGTAATTCTGAAGAATGACACCTGGAGTTGTAATCAATAGTAATGTGGTAAACCCCGAAATAAGCATACCCCTATTTGGGATGTTTTTTGATTACCCGCACATGGTTGGTTGGTCAATGGGATGGTTCATGATTGGGTTTACCACAGTATCGTGTTTTGACGGAACTTGGTTTCTGGGTAAGCACATTGTACGATTATATTACAGTATATTTATATCATCCCTTTCTTGTTCCGTAGTTGTCATCTTCTTTGGGTAATACTCATATTACCAATGGATTGGCGGACATATCTCCCACAAATCCAATTTTTGGTCTACTCCCCCAACAAAAACCACCTGTCCCCATCTCCCTAATTCCCTGCGCGAAAAAAGCCACGCCGGGTGCACGTGAAGCCGGGAACCATCGCCGTTGGGAGACAAATCTGGCGTGGATGGGTTTTGTATGGTTTTGTTAACCGCTATGAATGGGAGAGGGATTCCCATTCCATCCTATTTAACGGGAAAATAGGCACATTGGATGCACACGACATAGTACTTGGGTATAGTTGATATGAGAGTTCTCAATATTTTACAATGGGATACATCCGGTTGATGCAATGATAATTGTGACAGTTCTCAACTTTTTCTCTCAATGCCATTCAAACTCACTACCAGTATCTTGAATCGGAGTGGCTGGGCAACAGGATCGAACCCACTTCTCAGTATGGGACATTCGAAGGATAAATAAATTTAAATAATGGATATCGGTCAAAACCCTCAAAGTCTGGCTCTCGCAGCAAAGTCTGGCTTGGGATAGTGGATGTTCATCCACTATCCCAAGCCGGTAGAATCACCCACCTTTTTTTGGGCCAAATTGAGATTCGCATTACCAGTGTGGTTCCTGAATAATGATCATGGACGATGGCCCAATGCTGCAATGCTGACCATTGCCAGACTGCAGGACGGCGTAGCAGCAAAGCATCCCCTTGTCCCATTCTTGGAGTAATGTGCCAAAGCAGCTACGATTCGATCTTGCTTTTCTGATACTTCTATTATCTTCTATTCATTTTAAGTAGATGTTTCAAATATATGGGATGCCATGGTATACCCATGGTATACCCATGGTATACCCATAACTGCCCAGTAAACATAGCTCCATCGGGGCCCAGCATACACCATCGGATCACCATCGGATCGCCTCGAAAAATGATGTAGCCAAGCAAAGTGATCTCGACCCATGGTATACCCATGGTATACCCATGGTATACCCATAACTGCCCAGTAAACATAGCTCCATCGGGGCCCAGCATACACCATCGGATCACCATCGGATCGCCTCGAAAAATGATGTAGCCAAGCAAAGTGATCTCGACCTGCATCGACCGGCTGCGGCTTTTGAATAAAATTTGGGAGGTGCCCTCTGGTAAACTAACTTGGCTATTGAAAATGGTGATTTATAGTGGATTTACCCATTGAAAATGGTGATTTTCCATAGTTATGTTAGTTTACCAGAGGGTAGGATTTGGAAGGGATGGGAGGATTGAAAGATATCGAAACTTGTGATTTACCCAGTTGGGTCATATGCGACGAGCAATTCCCAAGGGAATTCCTACCAAGCACAGGTGGAAATCCTTGACCCAATTTCGCAGGGCTCAGGACACTGGTGCAGTTGTTCATGTTCTATGGCTCACCATTGCCACGGCCGACAGGGGGCCTTTGAGGGCCGGTCAGCAGCAGGTTCAGTGGCGTCCTCTCCGCCAACTTGTTGTCCATTTTGGGGTTCTTGCGTCCCCACCGCTTTATTGAACGTTCTAGCGTCTTCACTGCCTTAGAGACAGAGCAAACATAACGACCATGTACAACCTGGCCATCTTTTCGTTGAAACATCTGGTCGTCGAGAACCCAGATAGCTGTTCCCACCGCTTCTCACAGAGCGTGAGCCTTTCGAGCAATGGCTGGCTCGCGAACCTGCATCGCCAAACGTTTAGCCGGGCTTTGTAAAGCCCAGCTTTCTCAGCTGCGCTGTTCTGGTTGTTTTTTGTAGAACTCTCTTCACAAAACGTTTGACTCTGGCTGTGCATGCCATTTCTTCTTCAGAAACTCCTTCCCCTGTCGCCTGTCACACACCACGATATCTGGTTTGCAAATGCTTTTCATTCATTCTAGTCCTCATTTGCTGATTTTGCTGGATGTCTAACTAGGATTTTGGTTTGTCTGAAGATGGGCTGTACCACCAGTAAAAATACAATTTTAATAGGAAACGGAAGATGAACCAGAGGCATCTAGGTTTTTCCTCCGCTAAATTCCTAATTTTAAAAGATCATCCCAAATTTTCATGGTTAATCCCATTATATTTCATATCCCAAAAAATATCATGAAATATCCCAGGCTATCCCGCTTTATTATAAACCACCGCTTTTCATGGTTTAAATTACCATCAGTTCTCTTGGCTCATCCCAATAGCTGTAAACTAACATAGCGAACATTGCCATAGACGTGGTTGATTGAGCTATTAAAGATGTCAATTTTCCATAGTTTGCTGTATGTTTACCAGAAGGTAAACGACATTTCACCACCAAATGTAGGGAATATAATATATAATTATACTATTTCTGTTGCTTCATCATCCATTCTATATCCCAAAAATATGGCAGTGTGTCAAAACCTTGTACCCCTGGTGAACATCAAAATAGCTGGTAAATGGATGTTCACCGCCCATTAAAATGGTATTAATAGGTATTGATCCATACCCATATCCCAATACTATTCCTATGATATCCCAATAACAGTGGCATCTCTCCATTTCGGGACTTCCTCTGACATCCCGACCTTCACTCCGTGTTGGGTCTTGTTGTCCAGTTCCAACTCTTTCTCGGTCATCTCGTCCTGACGGACGGATAAGATGCAAAACATGGCAAAACAGGTCATGAACAATCAAAACATGTGAATTAACCCACACAAATTGTGGTTTAATATGATAGAATATCGTTTGATATGGTTTAATCATGTTTAATCATCATCCGAAAGCGCTTTACCATGAAACTAATGTGGCGATTCAACCAACATACAGGGAAAACTTGGGAGGTCTTCATGGCCATTCCAAAGGTGGGCGGCGGAACTGCGCCGCCAGTTCATATTGTTGGCGATATACCATTATATGGGTAGTTAGTTGGATCACCATCATAATATGTAGATATAATGAATAGACATCTGGTTGGTGGTTTCAACCCCTCAAAAATATTAGACAGTTGGGGTTACTATTCCCAATAGATGGAAACATAGAAAATCTTCCAAACCACCAACCAGGTAGATATAATGAATAGATATGTTTTAATATGTTGCCGTACGTATATGAACTGCTCCAATCCATATCCTCATTACCCTCTGGGAATTTTACTTCGCCATGGAAAATGACCCAGGTGTAGATGATTTACCAAAGGGTATCTCCAGATGAAAGAAATGGATATCTCATGATAAAACTCCCCCCAGAACTTTGTTGTGAACCGCCAAAGCAGCTCATTTTTGATGGTTATATTCCAGTATATCCCCATTCTATTCCCGTAAAATTGTTTGTTTTATACCAATGCTCATGGTAGTGGTTAATTAATGTAGCTCATACATACCCATACTAGTATCATGCAACCCGAATCCCCCGTGTACCCCCGAGGATTATAACTGCTATCTGCATTGTTGATGAGTCAAACTCCAATGTTTTCTGGGTTAAATACCCACAATTTAACGGTTACCATCCCCTCAAATTAACATAGACCCTGCCAAATAGGGGGTTGGAAGATTAGTTTCCACTTAAACATTGCTTTTTTTCAGGGTCTATGTTATACTTAGATTTATTGGAGGGTACCACATTTCAGTCCGTCCACCAACCATAGCTGCCATAGCTTCTCCGCCTCCAAAATCTGCAATCTCTGCTCTTCGATGTGGTACCTCCCCGGGCCCGATGGTGTTTCAGCTTTTTGGGTCTACTCCCATCCCCCAAAGATTCAGTAACACCTTTTTTGGGCGCCCGAAATGAAACAATCCACTACTAAAACCAAGGTTTCCAAGGGATTATGAACTATTGGGGGATGGAATTAAGAAAGGCTGGATAAAAAATCGTGAGGTTGAGTCCATGAGAAAGTGATGTTTGCCTCCAAAAAATACAAATCTACCCTCCACTAAACAATCATAGACCTGAAAAATCCACCATGAAAGGTAGATCGTTTCCTTGAATTTTCCGCTGGATTGTCCACATCTTTTTGGTTGACCATCCAAAAACAGAAAAAAAAAATATAACGTATCACGAGCTTTTAGTAGGGCTTCACTGAGAGCGCCTTTTTGCAGCTGCTGCGCGGCTGATCGACTGCGCCAGTTGCAGTTCGGCCGCTGGGTTTGCGCCCTTGCCTTGCAGGACGATGCGGCCCCGACTGCTTTTGCCCCCTTGGTTTGAGACGCGAAGTGCCCTTGGCTGCTTTCCCTTCGCATAGATTTGCTGCCATCCCACCGTAGGGCTCGTCACCGAGTGGGTTATTGTGGAATCCTCACCCCTGGTGCCCTTGCCACGACGCTCCGGCCACCATCTGACCGTGTGGCCACGCCCCTTTCGGAGCTTCTGGGGGCTCCCATGCGGAGTTCTCATCTTCTTCTGCAGGTGGAGGTTCGTCAGTCCCACGACTTTCCATCTTTGTGGGGGGTGCTATAACCATAAGTTATCTGGATAAATCTACACCTGGTTGGTGGTTGAGCCTACCCCTCTGAAAAATATGAAAGTCAGTTGGGATGATTATTCCCAATATATGGAACAATAAAAAATGTTCCAAACCACAAATCAGTATATACAATAATTCATTTGGAATAGTTGCCTTCCTAACGACCATTCATCTAAATGTTTGACTGGTAGTTGATGCCAATTGATCCAAAATAGTTTAGGTTCCTGTGACTGGTGGAGGGGGGGGCCCTCTGCTGTGTCATTTTTTTCCCACACCCCATTCTTTTGAGGAGGAAACACACTAGGTCCATGAAAAAAACATCTTGTCGGCCCACGTTTTTTTATTCAACTTCCTCCTACTATAGCTGCTTTATCTTGCTTAGTTTCATTCACCTTCAATCATCAGAATACCCAAAGAATACCCAATTCCCCAAAGTATCAATTTCCGTATAAGACCCAAATAAAGATGGTAGGCCATGAGCAACTCAGATCCCCAATAGTAGGTTTCTTTGGAAGATTTCTTTTGACTTATTTGAAAGTACATTGATATGAATTGATAATTGATATGAATTGATATCCTTATTTAAGTTTATGATCCTTGTTTTCCCAAAGTCCTTAAAAAATCGAAGTCCTTTCTTTCTTTTCCATGCACTCGACGTTTCGGCGTCAAACAGCTCGACGGCAGCTGCCCGCTTGTTTTCGGAAAGGGGGTCTCCAGGATTCATCACCCTACGCTATAATCAGCATCCAACATGAGTTATGACATTAGTAGCTAGTTGATAATTAGCATAATTGGGGGGGAAACACCAATTGTTTAGGGGTTGCTATAATCATATTTACATGTTAGCTCATCCACAATAATCCCCATTCAACCTCGATTTCCTTCGTGGATTTTCCAGCAAACCATGTATCTGTTGGGGCTTCCCCATGGATTTGCCCAGTCACTGGAGCTGTGGAAGGCCCGCGATGGTCGAGTGAAAACCAATGCCCTGGCTTCGTGTGGCTTCCGTGTGTTGGCCAGAAGAAATTGGAGAGTTGGAGGGTATACCCTCTGGTAAACATACAAAAAACTATGGAAAATCACCATTTTAAATGGGAAAACTCACTATAAATGGCCATTTTTCAATAGCTATGTTAAATTACCAGAGAGTATAGGTATAAGTTATGAACATGGGCGGTTGGTGTACCCTCCAGTAGACTAACAATCAGATGTGGGAACAATACCATATCAGCTAAAAAGCAACCCAACAAAAAGATAGAACCATATAGAACAGTGATTTCACTGAGTTTTCCTAAGATTTTACCCTCTGCTAAACTAACAGTTTGCTATTGAAAATGATCATTTATGGTGGTTTTACCTCGTAAAAATGGTGATGTCCCATAGTTTTCTGATGTTTTCTGTATGTTTACCTAGGATTTTACTGAGTTTTCCCAGGATTTTACGTGTAAAAAAAACAACATCTGTCTGTCGCGGGGTGCGTGCTCTGTTTCTCGGTTTCACCCGCCTCGTAGAACTGCTCCACGGAGGCGGCCAGCATCGGTTGATCCACCTGTACCAGTGGGTTACTATAATATAACTATACGAAAATACAATTATAGTTATATTAAGCATATTATCATATATAGTAAGTGTATATAAGCATAAAAAAAAAAAAAAACTATACTCATGGTTACCATATAGTAAGTGTATTTTTAGTCATATTATCATATGATATAGTATAATAGTTAGAACTTATAAGGAACTAGAATATACTAATAAGCAACTATAATGGATAATACTTATACTAGTGTGGTGACAATATACTATACTAATGCTTTATCTACTAATTCACTATACGAATGGGTTATAATAAAGTATTATAAAGTATACTGTGACATGAGATACCGTTACTATACTAATTTACCATAGTTTATTTTAACCCATTAGTAGAGTATATTAGTATATAAAACCATATAATTTGGGGGATATATTGCCTTACATAGCCCAAAAACATAGCCTCTGGTAAGCGAACATAGCTAAATCACCAATGTTCATAGGAAAATTAATAATGAAATCCCATTCATCATCCAGTAATCATCCATTACCCTCTGGTAAACATACAAAAAAAACGATTGAACATCACCATTTTTAAGAACGGTAAATCACCGAACTGTCGAACTGACCATGGCTTCACGTTCGCAAACTCTTCGTTTCCAGATCATCCAGATCTCCATGGTTTCGAGCTGTTTCGTGGCGAAAAAATGCCATGAAAAATCACCATCAAGTCATGTAAAAATTCATCATTTGCATTGCTGGAAATCCCATGGAAATCCTATGGAAATCACCATGAAATCCCGAAAAAAGACATCATGATTCCCAGCGGCCATGATTTCGAGCCTCAAAAATGGCTCGCTCCTTGGGTTTCATGGTTCTCACAGCAAGGTCAAAGCCCTGAGGTGGACAGGAAAGGGCACCGGTGCAGTAAAACCCATGGATCTTTCAAAATAGTACAATGCTTCAACTTTGGATGATTTGGGGTAGCCCTATTTCAGGACACCTCCATATATATATATATATACACATGCAAGTAATTGTAATACTGTAAGTATAAGGTGTAAGTGTGGTTATATCAAGTTATATCCCAATATCACAGGGGTTACAAGTTACAACTACCATAACTGCACCCAGTTATGACCCAATCGGCGATTGGGTAGCTTCCATTTTTGGCTCCCGATCTCAGCTGGCGTCTTCTCCATCCATTTTTGCGGGTGTATGATTTTGAAACCATGTTTGTATAAGAGAATTACATTAAAATATCTTAGTAAAGTAAGATCCATATGTAAACATACCATTTGAAATACATTAAACCCATGTACATACCATTTGTAGATCCATAAAAAAAACATTAAGAGAATTGTAGTATATTTTAGTATAAGTAAAATACCTTTCAGCCACAAGAAATGTTTTTTTCCACTTTTTGCGGTATGAAAACAGTGACACCGTTGGGGTATTAGGAAATCCGGTATCAGGTCATTGTCGATTTCCATGGGATACTTAGACACAAAACATGCCAAGTCTGTGCTTCCCAGTCTCCAATGTTGTCTTGTACTGATCAGGTATACCTATTGATATAGCATTGAAATATCAAGTTACATTCCTATATGTATATAAACACCCATAACATCAGAACTGAACTGGGAATACATCCCAAAAAAATTGGGGTTGTATCCGAAATATCTTAATATCACTGGGGTTACAACTACCATAACTGCTTGGGAGTGCAGTTCCAGTGAAGCAATTAATTGGAGATCAAGACCATAGTGATAGCGGTTATATTCCGACTTATGGGGTTTTAAATCCTATGGTTACAACCGTTTTTTCACCGCCTGCACCAAGTAGTTCAACCGAAAAACGAAACTCCTGCGCCTTGTACATGCCAGGATCCCCCAGAAACCAGCGCACTGGGCGTTTCTTCACCTTTCACAGGAATTGGTGCATTGACGACCAGAAACCATAAATCATGGACACGGGAAGATCATTGAAAATTGGGGATATTCATGGATATTCTGTGGGAAATGAGAAATTCTATGAGAAATCATGAGGTCTCTCACCACTGATAATTATTTTACCCTCTGGTAAACTAACATAACTATGGAAAATCACCATTCTGGGTAAATTATAATAATTCACTAACCTGAAATAAGGCCATTTGGGGATGATTTCCCTTACTAACCATGATTCCAGTGAGGTCGCAGTGAGGTCGTTATAATTTACCCAGACCATTTATAGTGGATTTTCCCATGGAACATGGTGGATCTTTCCATAGTTTTCTGTATGTTTACCAGAGGGTATACTTCGCAAGCCTCAGAACGATCGATGTGTCGGTATCATTTCGCCCTCGACATATCTCGACATGAATTCTGAGGATCCAACTCCTCCAACTGGCTGCGAAAATTTGACAAAGCTGAAGCCACATAACCCGATACCGCTTGGTAGGTACAACCCATGACAAGCTATATATATATATATGTATGTATGCATACATGTATATATATATATTATATATATACATATGTATATACACTCTCTCTGTACGTACACTCCACCTCAGACTCCATATAAGTTTTACCCTCACAAAAACACTCCATAAAAAAAAAATAATAATTACATATAATTACTATAGAATATATTAGAATATCATACATATACATAATATTGAGATTAGACAAATGGGATCATCATCCCAGGGAAACCAGCTCTGACCCAGCGAAGCCGCAGCGAAAGAAGTTATGACTCAGGCGCCTTGCGGTAGAAATCGCCCACCAGGCGTGGAGCTTTTCCAGCTTCCTGTGGGATTTCATGGATGTCAATGGATGTTGGTGGTTGGTTATAACTTACTGGTGCTTCTTAGTAGGGAATGGATGGGAATTGGGGTTGCTAGGACAACAAAAATATCAGTTATAGATAGTTGTAGTGGATCATTCCCTCATTCCCTAAGCACAAGCAAGCAATTCATGTAGCCAATCATGGTGATATTTTATGGGGGATATCTTAAATGCGACGAAATATGTAGCCAACAATAACCAACTACAGTATATGATCTTTAAGGTCAACTGGTGGATTACAATACGACCTGACCAGTTGGTTCACCCAATGTTCAGCGAAACATTGGGCCGAATCCTTGGGGGAACCGAAACCCAGGTTGGATAGAAGCTCAAACATAGTCCAGACCATATCAGGCAAGGAAATGATAGAATCTACTACCTAGGAGGATCCACAAATCTTGGCCACATCATGTTGAATTGAGTCCGTATTTTCACGCAAGTTGGTTGATATATGTTGATATTGCCAATGGGTTGGGAGGAGACCTCAACCCGAATCGACTCCTGTTTTTGATTCTCTTTGCATCTTTTACCATCCTCCCAACTACCATATTTCAGTCATAAGAAATGGAATTGTGCAATAGGCTCAACACTACAACATCCACTCTATCCTGCCATTTCTTTGCTGAATCCCCCTGCCTGATCCAAAAAATTCACCATCTCCATGTACTCCTGGTGAAAAAAGACTGCTTGCTGCATGCCCGGGACCAAAAAATTCTCGGTCGATGGGAACTCTTCGGTGTGAAACAAATGACAGTCATCAAACAAACTCGTCTATCAGAGGTGATCAAAATCACGCGCGAGAGGTCTGATGGGGAGTGATTTTTCTGGGGCAAGGTAGTGTGATTTTTACTGTAGTGTCCAACGTGTGAGTACAAATGCAAGATAGATGACCTAGTGATGCTCCACGATTTAGGCAGCATAATGCACCAAAACAAAAATACATAATTCAAAATCATGTTATACTGAAAATCATGCTATACTTTGCACTATATATTTTGGTAGGATTTCACTTTTCTAATACTTTTCTATCTTTTGGGCTACATGCATACACAAAAACAATGTACCACAGATGAGCCAGGCTGGATTACCAGAGAGTTTCTGGTTGGTGGTTGAGCCGACCCCTCTGAAAAATGATGGAGTACGTCAGTTGGGATGATGAAATTTCCAATATGATGGGAAAGTCATAAGAGCCATGTTCCAAACCACCAATCAGTATATATCTCATTAACCATTATTAACCACCATTAACCACCATTGACCACCATTAACCACCATTAACCACCATTAACCACTATTAAAAGCCATGTTTTCCACATCCCATCATGTGAATTCAGGAGAGATCCCATGACTTCCGGAATCCTGGACCGGAATGTCACTCTATAGGAAGCGACCTAAACATGTATGCCCTGAAGGCCAAACACAGAACTCTCAAGGCCAAAAAACTGGCGCTGTGCTGGGCATTGTATTCCCCCAATAGCACTCTTAGATGATTCTTTTCATCCAACGAAGGATTTTCACAGAACAATGTCGATTTCTGATAAAAGACATCATCTTACCATCATATGGTTGGTGCATGTGGGTGCAAATAACTTCAATAACTATGGTTTATGATTGGTTTATGATACTCATACCATCCTAATGATAGTTACTATGGCGGTTTTCTAAAAAAACAACTTTTACTGAGGGGGACCCCACTTTCTGGGAAGCTCTTGGTGGCTCCAACTGGCTCCCCTAGCGCCTTACCGCTCCCTCCTAACCACTGAGTGTCGTGTCTTGCAAGGCAATCTTGACCCTGCAAGAGTTCCTCCACATCTTTGGGGATTCCCGCAAGATCACAACAAGAATCATCCAGTTAAAAAAATGTGGCAATTCACACTTCACTACAATTCCATACAATTCCCACATTGTTCGAATCAAATCTAAATAACAGGCCAACAGAATTTTTGGATCTCACGAGCTCATCAACCAAGGCCGGCCTTCAGCTCATCTCGTGCTTGCTTCGTCTCTGGAAATGGCCTCGCAGAAGCCGGTCTATGGGGCTATGGGGCTGGGGTCAGTCATGAGGAAAAACATGGCCAAGAGTGGGGCAGAAGAAGTACCATACATCAGCATCCTACCAGAGGGAGACATTTCCACCATAATTGATTTCAATTCATATCCCAATCATGCTTTTAAAAAAACAGCTTGGATATGCTTGGATATGGGTCAAACCATTGGGTAGCCCAAGGGTACAGTACTTGATTCCTATTTGGCCTGAAAAGCTGGAGATTACTCGCAAGTCTCAGAATTTACGGGTCCAAAGTTGTTTACCCTCTGGTAAACTAACATAGCTATTAAAAATGGCCATTTATAGTGAGTTTTCCCATTCAAAATGGTGATTTTCCATAGTTACGTTAGTTTACCAGAGGGTACCTGAGAATCTCATGACATGATTCCTGTCGCAATTCATTTGTCACTGGATGTTTGATCAACAAAAACACCCCGCTTGACGGATCTGCAGCCATACCTCACCTGAAAAAAAAACCCTTGCCAACAAGTGTTCCATATCAAACAAATCCTTGGCAAAAATGGAACTTCTGAAGCACCGGAGCCTGTACTCCTTGCTATTGTACAACTCTTCACCTGGCCGCAGTGGGGCGCCATGACGATGGCCAATTGGGATCTTTCGATCTTTGCCAAAGATGTTGAATTTCAATATCAATCATCCCGGCCATTCCAATGGTAAAAACACATCCAAGTGGCTACTTGATTGTCAATCAATCAAATCAGTCCATGATTGTCGATCTTTAATTTCAAATCAATGGTAGTCATAGTCGGCCATCGGTTTCCAACGATTTCAATGCCAGTGGCGCGCTGTTCACTTCCAACACAGCCGTTGACACAACCGCGGTATCTACTCATCACCCCCCATTCATTACGCAGTGCTGCCAACATGTTTTCATTGACCATTGATAGCGACATTTTCCATAACATGAGTGCTTGGCGGCATTCCTAAGTGCCTTTCCCAACAAACATGGTCATGCCGCGTTCCTGCAGGTTTTGCATTGTGCGCACCATATTGCGGAGACTGTGAAGTAGTGTTTTTTGCTCTGTGCTAGTTGCTCAAAAAATGATTTTCCGAAAACTATTGTCGATGGGTCCCATTGGCTGGTTGATGTCAACATTTCCACACTGGGTCAAACATCAAAAACAATCAAATGTAGTATAGAACGAGGTAGTATAGAACGTTTGGGTTTCACACTATCTCAGATAGAGGTAGTTGGGTTTCACACGATCAAACGAGGTAGCATAAAACGCCCATCTTTGCAACTTAGTTGTTGAAATTTTCTAACCCATCTCCCTACGGCAGGCAGTTGCAGGTGGGGATATCTAACTATATTTCCTCGATTAATGCCTTTCAACAACTCAACCTTTTGAACCAAACATTCTCCAAATAACACCATAAATGAATTGGTTGCAAGTGTTATGTGTGTATATATATATATATAGTAAATTAACCAATATATATATATATTATAATGATATATATATAAATACATAATAAAATGATATATATATAATATCTAATTATATATATAATATCTAATTATATATATATATGTTACACGTACATTATTATTACTGCCAGAAAAAATAGAGTTTGGCCACATCTAATCCTAAAAAAACGTTGCGCAAAAAACAACTTTTGACCTTTTGGTGATCTCCCTGCACCTCCGTGAGAGCTGATGATCATCTGACAGGTGACCACCACCTGCGAACGGAACAACCAGTGAGGGGGTTGTGTTCAATGGGAAATCATAGGATCATGTGGGATATACCGTCCAATAATCAAACGTGGCGATGGAACACCTACCATTTAGTTTGACGATTTTCCCAGCTAGAATCCTGCATGTATAGAAAATTTACCATGTTTGACTACCGGAGGGTAAAAGGCTTTAACACTGCTTGATGTTTAAGTGGGGTCCCCGTCACATGGGGGAAAATCATGGGATAATTCCCCACCTGCCAGGTGAGGGTTGTTAGATTTTGTCAGAGTTGTTCTTCTCCTCCTCCTCGTTCTCCTCCACCACCTCTGCCTCCACTTCCATGTCCACTTCCGCCTTGCCAACTCTTCGGCAAGCTCTTCGCCAACTTCCGCACGCAGTGGCACCGCTGGACCTCAACCTGGGACCTTCCGAGCTCAGTGAGCACCGCTGGACCTCAACCTGGGACCCTCCGAGCTCAGTGAGCACCGCTGGACCTCAACCTGGGACCCTCCGAGCTCAGTGAGCACCGCTGGACCTTAACAGCCAGATAGAATGCCAGAAGATATGCCAGATAGAACGCCGGACAGAATGTCAAGAAAATATGCCAGATAAAGTGCCAGAAGATATGCCAGATAGAATGCCAGAAGATATGCCAGATAAAATGCCATAAGATATGTCAGATAGAATGCCCGAAGATTTGCCAGTAACAAAACGTATAGATGTCATGGTGGGGATAACTCGAAGTAAAGTAATTCTGTGATTTACGCATCAGCGGAGATTATTTGATGGGAATCATGGGCATTAACCATGACAAATTTATATTTAAAAGGCCAGAATGTGGTTAGACCAACTACAAAAAGATACAAAAAGTATCGAAGTAACCCCAAGATATGCTTTTCCCCCCCCCCGCGTAAGCTAATGGGGTCTTCAGCCCAGAATAGCTCCGGTGTGCACTGGTGCAGGCGCCGGGTCAGGTTTAACGAGGTTCCGGAGAAGGTTCCGGAGAAGGTCTGGTAGGCTTTTGTGCAGAGTCAGGTCAGGTTCAATAGGGTTCCGGAAAAGGTTCCGGAGAAGGTGTGAGAGGCTTTGGTGCAAAGCCAAGTCAGGTTCAACAGGGTTCCGGAGAAGGAAGGTTCCGGATAAGGTCGGGGAGGCTTTGGTGCAGAGCCAGGTCAGGTTCAACAGGGTTACGGTGACGGTCTGGGAGGCTTTTTACGGTGAAGGTCTGGGAGGCTTTGGTGCAGAGCCAGATCAGGTTCAACAGGATTTGCGGCCATTTAACTCACCGAAACCCAGCTGATGTGTTTCCAACGCTTGGCTTTGCAGCACGTTTCAGAAAGATTTGTAAAAATAAAAACGTTGCGGCTGTTTGGGGATACCACCGAAGCTTATGTGCACATCTATCAAGTAAACCCATCTAGTCCCCATGCTAATATGACATGAAGATTGTGATTGAGTAGACACAAACGGTATGTCTCACCATGAAAACTCATCCCATTCCAAAGTTAAACCACATCCCACAAACCATGGTTTAGTAGAGGGTGAAATCACATATTTGGGATTATAGAATAGGAGTGGTTGGTGGTTTCAACCCCTCTGAAAAATATTAGTCAGTTGGGATGGTTATTCCCAATATTAATCGAAAAATAATCCACATGTTCCAAACCACCAACCAGAGGAGTGCTGAATATTCGCGAAGTGCTTACGAAAGCTGGATGTAGTTGGGATCCAACGCTGCGGTGTCAACATGGCAGGCTCGGACATGCCCAATAAACACGGAGAATTGTAGCTGGGAAAAATCATGTTTGATGAGCAAGTTGGGATATCTAAAAAAATGTGTGCCATCCATATCATGCAGGGAATACTTACAATGTTTATCATGTATGGGTACCCTCTGGTAAACGTTTACATGACTATGGAACATCTCCATTTTTCAGCACGGTAAATCAACTATTTCTATGGGCCATTTTCTTTGTCGCTATGTAACAAATTACCATACGTATAATGGATTGATGACCATTCCCACGATTGGTGTACATTCCAACTACACGTGGCACACATGCCTATCCCAAAGATCGAGGTGTTCTTATCCAGTTCCCGCCTCATCTTTCGGCACTGAGGATTCTAAAAACATGTGGTGGCCTGTTTGAAGAGTTCGGTGGAACCTCCCGAAATTTGTTATTTTATCATCGTTTATCATTCTCCGCCTAAAGATTAGGCGAGAACAGATTTTCCCATCGTGCAGTTGGTTTACAGTAATCCCTATGTTGTTGCATTGATCATACATCCCCATTGTGGTGCCATGTTGTACGCCCATTGTTAACGGTAGTTTGCTAGTACCCTCCAGTAAATTCAGCATAGCTCTGGAAACCGGTTATTTACCTATCAAAACTGGCGATTTTCCATTGACTCTTAAATCACCGCAGGGTAAATCCCCAACCATCATTTGATGGTTAAAACACCATTTTGACGTTTAAAACACAACTTTTGATACCTCGAACCCCCCTTGGAACGCACCTTCTCGGAACCTTTCGAAAGCCACTGCGGCTGCAACCACTTCGGCTCCTCATCAGGATCACCCTGCGGAGGCCGAGCCAAGTCAGATGGGGGGTATGTTTGTTCAATCCAGCCATCATCTAACCATGGTTGTCGAAGGCCTACCTGAAAACCAGAGGCTAATTATCTGGCTGGTGGTAAATCTACTCCTCTGAAAAATATGAGTTCGTCAATTGGGATAGTTCCCAATATATGGAAAAATAAAAAAAGTTTGAAGGTTGCTAATTGTTTTTCATGGGTACTAATGGTTGTTGACGGCTATCAATGGATGTTGGCTATGAATCCCAACTTGGGGGTTCATGAACTTGGCTATGATATGACCCTTGGTCACGGCTGGCTACTGGGATGGTGGATGGGGTTTTCAATCATATCAATCCAATCACTTTTCCAGCCGTGCGCCCGCATTGCATGGGCAACTCCACGTGCAAGGGGGGTGTCAGCCTGACTGGCGTTATTGGCGCTCAAAAGCATCAATCGTGGCTGAATAATGGTTCAGAATTGATGGTAATGTAAATCACAACCTGATCATTCTCTAGATATGACCACAATCTGGCCGTAATCAAATCACCTCCAATTCATCATTATTACTCAGGGTAATGTGGTAAACCGCATCATGCATCATTTGGGGCGGTGTATGGTCTTTTTGCATTTTTTTCGCCAACCATTTATGGATTTTATGGTTCATAGGGATGGTTGTACCACACTTGGGATCATCATGTCATCGGCCTCACCATACTCTTCAATGCGCAGCTTGCGGACCGTGCCTGCGCTTCAAGAAATCGAAGCGTGATTCAACGAGAAGAAACATGGATTGCATATCTAATTGCAGGGATTCACCAGGAGCTATACCTCCTACGTCAAATCAGTTCGCTCAAACTCCTTGGTACGTCCTTTTTGGAAATTGAACCTGATAGTTCCGTTCACAGGGTTTGTTATGGGGGAATGTCTGAATGAATCTAAGCTAAGCCAGGTAGTTTAATGCCAAGTTAACATGCCACATAATGCCACAGACAACAACCAACTATGAAAAAAATGACAATTTTCAACGCTGTTCATGTGGAGAACCAACACAGATTTCATCCCCGTCTCGCTTAATTCACCCACCGAATTGCCAAGTTTGATTCGGTCAGCATTTGGTGAACCCATGGTGAAACCACCATTTTTCATGGTGAAAACTTACCATCTGGTTATGACTCACATAGCCATGGAAAGATCCACCATTTTTAAGAACGGTAAACCATCTATTTCTATGGGCCATGGCTTCCATGGCTATGTTAAATCATCAGAGGGTACTTGACAACCCAAATTCTTTTTGGTGAACATTCACATGATTGTTGCTGTAATTCCACTTCTTGTTGCTTAACATGCCATATTTGTACGTATTTCTTGTACGTTTTCCTGTTTGTTCATGGTCTTTTCTGGTTTTTCCATGTTTTTCCGCGCTTTTCTTGATGAAATCCATTGAATTCACCATTCTTTCGGCTTAAAATCCCAGGGTTTCTGGTTGAAACCACCCGAAACCGCACCGTCCGGGCAGAGCTCGGCCAGGCCGGCGCAGATGTCGCTGACGGCCTCGCACTGGATTACTGGATTGGAAGGGACATTTTCACCGGAAACTGGCTGGATTTGACCATCAAATATAGCTGGTTGGTGGTTTTAACCATCTTGAAAAATATGAAAGTCAATGGGAAGGATTATTCATATATTATTATGGAAAATAACAAATGGTTGAAACCACCAACCAGTGTAGGGTTTTCCTATACATTTTTGCCATCATCCATAGCATCAAGCTGGGGCTGTTGAGCCTGTTGAGATGAAAGGCGTAAGCTATGCCGGGCCAGTAGACCTGCGGGAGTCCTCTGTAGGTGTCCTGGTCTACTGTCCCGCGTATGACGGCTATCCTCGTGTTGCACCACATGAGATTATATTGGAAGTGCTTGCCCGAAACCTCACTGTCCATACCCTGGGGGTCACAGCCGTACGATAAACGCCCCTGTGTGTAGGGAGTCGCTCGATGTATGAGCCCGGTTGAGTCTCACTTTCATCTGCTTCATCCTGTGGCCAATGCTTGACTGCGAGTCCTAAGAGGCGAGACTATCCATCCAACCCTTGAACGCGAGGTCTATCGAGTACTGTGAGACGTCTCGTCTGCTAACTGCAGACTCTTGGGCTCTCTTTCTTATCTCCAAAGCTTATGTTGAACTGTTTAGTCCCACGCATATTATGAAGAGAACATCAAATATATAATATACATTAATATACTAGAAACGACAGTTATATGATGGAATTTAAATAAGGGGAATTAGTGTTGTCCAAACAAAAGTTCGCCAAGATGCAAAATTCACAGCATAGGCGATCTACAAAGAGCAATGCGAAGATACAACCCGCATCCATCTGCCACCACTACAAAAAGAACCCCACAGTTTGGAATCTACTGGCTGGAATATGTGATGTGGTGGCCTAGCTAGCCTATCTATACATGCCATTAGTGACATGGCAATTTCAAATCACTTCCAATTGCTTGTATTGAATTCTATTGGACCTGCGTTTCGAAAGGTTTGTCAATGACCTGCGATTGGGCCACGTGGCCACTCTGCGCTATCTAGGGAGCCCTCCTTGTAATTACGGGAATTGAAGAAGAGACATGAACGTTATAACATTATGGGGATTTCAGCAACAAAGTTATGGGGCACAAGACCAACCATATAATGGGGATAGAATGGGATACATAACCTACCATAACCAACTTGATGTAATCTCCAATGGGTTGCTCTGCCGTAAACTAATATAGTTAATTCATGTTAATTCTGTAATATTGCTTTCCATAGGAAAACATTTTTTCTCACATCTACCTGAATTGACTGTAGAGGGTAAAACCTAATTACATATTAGTCAATTTTCAGGGGAGATGAACATCCATTTTTGCTGCTTGACCATCAACCATCAATCATGATTTTCATTAGATTCAAAGGATCAGGATCGCCCTACATGAAATGGAGGAACCATGGAAAACAAGCCCCCGTTTCCCGTAGATGTTTACTTTAACCAATCCGGAGAATGATTGCTCATCTTTGATCATACGTAACTATGGACGAGGTTTCCTGCAAAACAAGTCCAACACTGGATCCTGGAGGTCTTGGTCTCAATTGGGGGATCAACAATTGACAGACAAGGGAAAGAACAAGTTGATCATATCCAGAAAAATGGATATATATTGGATATGTAAGTAGTGATCCCCACAGCAAAGGTAACCATGATTCAATAAACCGAAGGGAATCACTCGCATGCCCCTTTTGTTGTGGACAAATGATATTATAGGATAGTGTCTATGGGTGTGGAAATGGGGGCCCATGCAAATGGCGATTCTAATAGGGATGGGGGCATACTATTTTCAAACAAACCCACATTGTGGGTCATTGATCCCTCTAAGAAAAATGAACAACCGTGATATTCGAAGAGCTTTCCAGGTTCCGGTGGTGGAAAAGACCATAACCTTGGCTCCTACTGGTGGAAACACCGGCAACACACTGAACATCTCTCCAGGGGAGGATCATCATCCAGCAAATCTGAAATACATTGAACATCATTGAGATATGGCTGGAATACACTCAAAAAACATTGCAAACTGTTTGGTGGTATACCTACCCCTCTGAAAAATATGGAAGTCAGTTGGGATGATTATTCCCAATATATGAATAAAAAATGTTCCAAACCACCATCCAGAACATGCATTGAAAATACATTGAACATCTGGCCATCAAAAATGGCCGGACAATCACCAATACTTCGATGATTTCCCCGAACGAAACCTCCATGGCGAGGATTTCTCTGGGCCAAGTGGGTTGGGGAGCCCTGGGGGAGCAACGGCACCTTCCCAGCCAACTTCTTCCGGTCCTGGCTTGTCAGGAAGAATCTCCAACCCTGTTGACTTAGAGGCTACATCCCCACTTTTGTTGGTTGACAAAAGTTGAAACCTCGGCTTTTTTAAGCTACGATTGCTATTCACATTCCACAGCGCATTTCCTGCTCACCATGATGGTTTCGCCAAGGGCAATTTGATGTTCTCTTCAGGATATACAATTCAAAGAATATCTGATATGACACATGATTTCTAAGGCGAGCAATGATACTATTTCTGATACTTCTCCCATAGTAGTCTGGCTAATCCTTACAATCAATTACTCTCCGTTTATTGCAATGGACATTTGGGATGGTACCATTATAATTATTACCTCATTTTCTGACAACTATGTGGGTTCTAAACCACTTAACAGGCCTACAAGAAGGGACCAACTAGATTGCCTAGATAGTCAAGTCGGTTTAGATCTACGTGTCAATTTGGTACGGCCCAACTGTCTCAACTAGCGAGAGTGACTTTCGCCCAATTTGCAACTGGGGGGCCCTTTCTGTATTATGAAATCCGAATAATTCTTGAGTAGATCCCACATCACAGCCCAATCTCAAATTATCATAAACATCTTGATCCATTTTGGTGTATCCATAGCTTTGTTAAATTTTGTTAGTATACATTATTATAGCATATTATTATCCATTATGATTATACCCCAATAGCTTTGTTGAACATCCCCAGGCAAAATGGCGTCCTTGCCAGTCTTATGCTGAACTTGCCGGAGCATCGCGGCGGCGTCCTGCTGTCAGGTCATGTGGTGCATGGGACGTGTGGACTTTGGGCTTCAAACATTCGGAAATGACATGCTGGTTGGTGGTATACCTAGCCCTCTGAAAAATATGAGTTCGTCAGTTGGGATGATGAAATTCCCAACTGAATGGAAAAATAAAAAGTGTTCCAAACCACCAACCAGCATGAAATGACCATGAAAAACCCAAGTTTTAGCAGCAAATAGATAAGAAAAGAGGAGCTTGAACATCAAACATGAGGATCTTTAGCGCAAGTGGTGCCCGATATTTACAGTTGTTTGCAACTAGGGGAACAAATACGATTGTTAGATGGGGTTCAAAACACGTTCTACATGGGAGGCACCAGATTGTATAATTCCTTTCGCAGATGGGCTTATTCCCGAATAACTAATGGATGTCCATCTGCTGTGAAAGGCCAACGATCGAGAGCGGAACGTTATTGCCCGTATGGCAATGAGGCAATGTCCATTTAACCACTCCCTGAAATTGAGAAGTATCTTCCCCCACAGACAAACCATTTTTTCTAGTCTGCGATCGTCTGACGAACTGAGTCTTGCAATTCACATGTTTGATGCTTAAAACTGATCAATATCTGCGTTTTGTCTCTTTTGTTGGTTCACGACCCACTTGTCATCCGTTCAACACCTAATTTTGTTGGTCGAATCACCCTATTTTGCTGGTTCAAACCGCGAAATCTTTGGACATCCGCAATCGGCCACTAAAGCTGTCCTTGTTCTGCGGATAGTGCTTCAACAGCACCTTCCCCACCCGTCTGGATCCATTCATTTGGACGCCCCGTATATTGGAGGTATCTAATGGGGGAAGGGAATCTTGACAAATGGATGCTTTCCAAATTTGTCATCCAGAATGATGGCTAGCAAATTTTACATAATTTTACCATGTTCATCCCCTCTTAAAGTCTCTTAAACATATGAGAGCGATTGAAGATCATCACCCAGGGGCTCTTCCAATGCTCCTCCACCAAACATCCGGGGAAGTTGGATCCATGACATCCCAAGCAATTAGGAATGAACCATGACACATTTTTGCCGGCTGGTGGTATACCTACCCCTCTGAGAAATATGAAAGTCAATGGGAAGGATTATCTCATATATCATGGAAAAAATGTTTGAATATGTTTGAAACCACCAACCAGTTTGGGTTTTTGGGATTTATATAATGGTGATTTAATATGGTTTTTCAAAGCATCATGAAGATATAGAACCAACTATCCAACCATTGTGTATAACAATGTGCTTTGAACATGTGGTTTACCCCCATGGAACTTTGGTTTGGGAAAAGTGATGATCAACTTTTCCAATTTTGGGTATCCCATGTATTTTGAGACAAACCCATGTTTAAAACCCCCCATCAGTTTTTCTTACAAGGGAGTTGTACCGGGTGAGGTTGTACCCCATTAAATTAACAACTTGATAATTCCAAAAACCACGCAAAACCCATCACACCGCAAAGCAGCAACTCAGTTTGAGGTTCTCCCTCCAAATTTGCGCAGCCTCCAAATCTGCTTCGCACTTCTCCCACAAAGAGAACGTGAAAAACGCCTACTGCAGCGCAATTCATTGCGCAAAGCGTGTAGGGTGGGGGAGACCCTGATCACCGACGGTTTTTCCTTTGCAAGAGTGAACTATTTCCGGGAGTGTTTGGAGCCTTGTTGATGGTCTTTGTTTTGAACCATCATGAAACAAATCTGAACAAACACATCTGTGAGATATGATTTTTCCACAATGTCCTCTTGAAAATGTGCTGATTCCCGATTCCTGATGCTCAGCTGGGCCCACTGCCCATCCCAGTGCCGCGCCTGAGCCCGTCTGTACAAGGCTTTTTCATTACCTTCAACCGATGCAGAGCAGATTCCCGGCGGTGGTGGGATTCCGAGAAGTCGATGTTTGGTTATTAATAAATATTAAATAGCTATGTTTCACACACCTAGATGCTCCATGTATGGTATATTTACCTACATTTGTGTCATTTATGGGGTAAATGTTGGTAAATATGCTATACATGGAGCATATGGGACACTATTAATTAGCTATATTTGTTAAACTATGGTTACATATAATTCATAGCTATAAAAATCATAGTCAGTGATAACATGTATACCCCATGCCTTGATTTTCATGGGACGTAAGATCTTCCTTCAAAACTGGTCATCAGATTACCCAAGTGAGGGACGTCCTTCAGCGATCTGCCACCCAGGGACTCCGCTACGCGGTGTCCCTCTGCTGTGGCATCTCCCAAGGCATATACCCGCTCCATGGTTGTAGACAAGGGGCACAGCAGCGCCATCTTGATGTCCATGTAGTTCCCCCGTTGGCGGTACAACTTGATGTACCGCCAAAGGTCCGCACGATGCGACATCTTGCTGAAGCTCATGTAATGCTTCAATGACAAACTGCCTCCCACCGCCCTGACCTCATCTTCACAGGTTGCATCTGGCACGAACACTCGGTTGTAGTCTGCTGCAAATTCGTTCTGGTTCGCTCTTGCCTGCGGATGGTCTTCCTTGTTTGTTTGCCAAAGCTGCATGGTTGGCCGCCCCAAGCTCTCGGCAACCTCAGCGAATGGACGGCGGACGGAGCTGTGTCCATTCATGCAGCGCGCAAACTCTTGCCAGCTCGTAGCATGACACAGTTCAGCCGCTACAAAATTCTCCGCCAGCACTTGCTGCTCCCGGCAGTTCCACCCAGCGCAGATGACGACAGCCAGCCACGTCGCACCTGGCTCTACCTCCGCTATCCGCTAGGCTACGCCTTGCATAGCTCCCCGCAGCATCTGGCCCCACCTCCGTTACGCTACGCCTTGCAGAGGTTCCTGCGCCTGCCAACTGACACAGCTATATATCTCAATATCTAAATATCTAAAGATCATATACTGGTTGGTGGTTTTAACCATCTTCAAAAATATGAAAGTCAATGAGAAGGATTAACCCATATATTATGGAAAATAATCCCATTTAATCACCATTAATGACTGGTTGGTGGTAAAACAACCACTCTAAAAAAATATGAGTTCGTCAGTTGGGCTTACTATTCTCAATAGATGGAAAACCAGAAAATTCATGTTCCAAACCACCAGCCAGTACATATATATATATATATATATATCATATATCAAGTTGGTATCAAGTTGGTAATATCATGTTATATCCCTTTTTTAAGGTCGGTGTCGGTTCCTTTGATGGTGATGTATCCCGTGGTATCCCTGGCTGTCTTCATGGAAAGTGGCTGGACTATGATAATTCACTGACCCATTCGGGGATGATTCCCCAAATATAAACAATAAATTATAATAAATTCCATTGACGTCATAGTGAGGGCATTAGGATTCACCTAGGTATGTTCTCATTATATCTACATATATACCCATTATATTACGTACCATTTCTGCTGGTTAAATTCTCAATTTTGCCGGTGTTCCACATACGACTGACATCCGTCGCGTTGTCCTTTGGAACCAAGAAAAAATTGGGGATCCCAGGTGAATGTATACCCGATTTATGGCAATGTCATATGATTTTATTGGAAACACTATGGAAACAAAAACACCTGAACAACGACTCCCCATTGGGCTTGTGTTTTTCCCCAAAATGTTCTGGTACCAAATATGGTTTATATTCATAAATATTGCTTATATATTCGCTATAACCCAAATGTTTATGTATGTATATATATATATTATATAAACATATCTGGGCAAATAATAATATTTCACTAACTTGAATTAAGGCAATTTTGGGATAACTCCCCTTACTGCCCATGATTCCCGTGAGGTCGCGACGTGAGGTCGTGATGAAATTTACCCAGATCTTTTTTCAGAATATTGATCGTATTCCCATGATATTCCCACTAATCACAATATAAATCCCATTTAGTCACCATTAATGGACATGATGAATCCCATTTAATCACCATATAAACCCATATAAATCCCATTTAATCACTATAAAATCATCATAAAAGTCCAGTTAAAAGCACCATTTTGTTAATGCTTAAATCCTATTTAGATCACCATGAATAACCATTATTACTTGGCGGACCATCTACTGGGGTCAATCCCCTCTCTGATCATCCGCTTTTCGCCCAGCCACTGGGCTGCGTATCGAGGATGCGATCCGTGAGATCTTTCACCTGATCCGAGAGCACCGAAAAAAGGGCTGGGTGAATTCATGGTATGTTCACCATCAAAAATAGTGATTTAATGATATTTAACCAACCAAGAATTGTGATCTAATTGTATTTTACCAGCCAGAAATGGTGAATTTTTATGGGATTTGACCAACGAAACATGGTGAATTCATGGGATTTAACCAACAAAAAATTATCTAAAGACAACACATGGTGAATCTATGAAATTTTTAACTCACGAAAAATTGTGAATTTATGGGATTTAACCAACCAAGAATTGTGATTTAATGATCTTTAAATTAGCTCTGAACTTTCTGCACCGGGCCATCTTTCTGTCGGGCCTGATGATGTGGTCCCAAGTGGCGCTATTGTCACCACACTGCGGGCACCTCCATCGAAAGGCATCATCCCTCCAGATGACCGCGCATCTACTGTAACCTCCATGGTCATGGCGGCGGTAAGGAGGCAGCGCTTCCCGTCCCACCATGACAGTCGTTGGTGGTGGGCCACTCGCCTTACCTGCCTTGGGAGTGTCAAGGGCTGCCGTTGGTGCCTCCTTCCGTGGCATTGGTGCTGCTGCACTCGCCTTACCTGCCTTGGGAGTGCCAAGGGCTGCCGCTGGTGCTTCCCGTGGCGTTGGTGCTGCTGCAGCTCTGTGACGGAAAAACACGTGAGGACATGATCAGATTCATCCAGATAAAATGCGTGTGATAAAGCTATCCCAAAAATATGTTGTTTCAGAATAAATTCAAAAGGCGGACACGATGCTATTGGAAGACCCAAAGCGTCATTCAAATTCTTAGACACATGTTTCTTACACGGTGTTAGCTGAATTGTCAGTTGCTGTTGAGACACACCCGGATTGAACTAATTAGCGACTAGCAACGAGTAGAACCATTTGTTGAGCCAATCGAACTTTCAAACATGGAGATACCAAGAGATGGTTGGGGAGATTTGCAAACAAATATACCGTTACCCAAACCAAAAGTGATGGAGTAGACTCAGAACAATGGCTGGTTGGTGGTTTTAACCATCTTGAAAAATATGAGGCAATGGGAAGGATTATCCCATATATTATGGACAATAAAAAACGTTTGAAACCACCAACCAGATGGTGAATATGGCGGTTGCGAAAGTGTCAAACCATTGGGAACCTCACATGGTTGGTCACTAGAAATGCAATGCAGCTAGGAGGTCTTCAAGTCGATAGTGATGAGATCCAATGCGCACCAAAAACCTTCACACAACATTTCATTTTATTGGAGGACACAGGGGAAACGAACCAAAACCGAACAGAAATCTACGCAGAAAACACAGTGGATACGAAACCCAAACCACAAGCGTATGGGTGTTGGGTACGGTACGGACTAAAACAATGGACCCCCAAGAGTGGATCGCAGAAACTGCCCTCTGAGAATCGCAACATGGCATTGGGAAATCACCCTGTTGGTGAATATCTAATTCATCTGATATTTAGAAATGGGTGTTTATAAACAGCACTCTTTGGTACGGAACATCTTCTTTTTATAGTTGATTTTTGCATTGAACCTCCATTCACAGTAGCTTTACCGGGGATTCCCATGGCTTTCCATGCATTTTCACGACGCCCATAAGAAATTCAGCCACACCTTGCCCCACTCCCCTCGCTTGATGTGCAACTGTGCGAGGTTATTCCTCCGGGTCTGGGACGACGGACCCCGGTCGGAGAACTGGGTTTTTGTCCAGAAATGGAGGTCTAAAATACCATACCTTTTAGTAGTCTTGTTACAAACAGAAGTGTAATATTGGGCAAACCATCGCTTATGGGACTGGATCAGCTGGTGTGCACCATAATTTTCCCAATATAATATTGCTAATTCACAAGCATTTCAAAGTGAATTAATCACATTCTCCAACATTACCCTCATAACTATGGAACATTGCCATCTTTAAGAACGGTAAATCAACGAACTAAATGGGCCATTTTCAAGTTCGCAAACTTATATCATTAACCTTCAACGACTCATATCATTTTTATGATCCAACTATCTGGGATGGGACTAAAAGATCGATCTCACGCCGTGAGATTTTGTTTTAGCGATGCTCACCTATGTGCAGATTACACGCAATGAAAAACATGACATGACACTAATGTATACCAGTGATAATAAAACACTGCCATAAATCAACCATGACACCTTAGTATACCAGTAGACATGACATGACATGACATGACATGACATGACATGACATGGCATGACATGACATGACTCTTTAACTGCATTGAACGACGACATATCATACCACAGCATGCCATATCATATCAGTGCATATCTCATATAGGGTTGATCCAGGTGGATTTACAAGCTTTCTGGTAATTTCTAAGTCAGACAAGGTCTGATAAATGTTGCGTCAGTGCACGGAGCGTTGCCCTTGCATCACTCGCGTCTATGACAGTAAACTTCGAGGTGAACCGGACCGCCATTTCGCAGTTCCTCCATCATCCAATTGATACCGTACTTCCCGTTGATCGACAGGATTCGGTCACCAACACGCACGTCCAAGACGCACCCGTCAAGGATCTGGGTGATGAGCAAGACGTGCCCCGGCTGCGGTTGGACGGTGAGTTTGAGCGGGACTTCTGCACGCATTTCACGCGTCAGCGGCCTCACACAGGAGACAGACAAGGGTCTTCCCTGCCCAGGCATCTGCTACATCTCAAGGGATAAAACTGGGTATGATAAATGTTTGAAAAACATAGTGATAATAAAACACTGCCATATTGTTCAACCATATTAATGGATATTAATGGTTTATACCACCCATATACGAGTACCACCCATACACCATCCAGCCCGTTCCGCGCAAGCGTTCCGCGGGTTGCGACACGCGGCACCTCAAGATGCACAGAGCGCTGAGAACTTCCGGGGTCAAAGTGCCCAAGGCCAACAACCTCAGGCCGCTGCAGGCTGGTCTTTGATGCGAAAAAAACCTGAAGGGACACTACTGTTTATGTTACATATGCATGTGTATATATATAATATATTTACAATGCTAATTAAGGAAACATAGATATTTATATACAATGATATGAAATTATGTATTTATAGTAATATATAATATAAATATATAATTAATATTAATATAATATATACATATATATATATATATAAATATGTTTATAAACAGAGAGATTAACCAAGTCTTGAGACAATAGTTAGATGTTGAAACCGTGCGAGATCGCACAAAGATCGACCACCAACTCTCCGTTTCTGAGTCTCGGTGGTCTTCGATGAATCTCAGAGAAATCCACTTCAGCATGGGCATTTCTTCCTAGTGAACCCCCAAGGTTTGGTTGGTGGTTGAGCCTACCCCTCTGAAAAATATGAGTTCGTCAGTTGGGATGATGAAATTCCCAATATATGGAAAAAAACATGTTCCAAACCAGCAACCAGATTTCACTGCTTTTAAAAATGGTCAAAATCCCATGCTGGCCCGTGTTTGCTAAATCTAGCGCTGTTTTCGATGCTGGTTCACCAATGGTTTTTGATGGTTGAACCACAGCTGGCTTCTGTTCTGAAAAACGGATTCCCAATGACTTTGAGTCAAACATTAACAGAAAAGCTGTGGTGAATCCCATTTTTTAAACAAGATCAATGTTTTTAATTTCTGTTCTTGTGCAGTTTTGATGTTTGAATCCCCGGTCTTCACTCTCTCAGAACGGCCCTTCCGCTGAGGCTCCCAACATGCCAACGCCGGCTTCCCAATCAACTTGGGCCTGGCCAGGCCACGTCGCGGGTCGTCACCATGGTTTCTGAAAATTGTCTGATGACTTAGAGGGTTACTGGTTGGTGGTATACCTACCCCTCTGAGAAATATGAAAGTCGGTTGGAATGATTCTTCCCAATATATGGAAAGTCATAAAACATGTTTGAAACCACCAACCAGGTTAGGGTAGCCCTATGACTTATGAAGCCCACAAAGGTTTGAAAGTGCCCAAAATGGAGCCATGAAATTCATCAGGTGGTACTCCTTGGAGGGGGTGCTCCCTGGCGCTCTCACGCTAGTGAATTCCTAGACCAAAGCATGACCATTCCTATACAACCAAATACAAAGGTGGATCCTTTATCGTTGAATGATTTGATTCTTACTCGAGAGGGCCGTGTGCAAACCTGCACGGTTAGTTACATCCATTCGTAGCCCCATTTGAAATCAATTTATGTGTGTTCCTTAATTTGCCTTCACATTGGTTAAAACCCAATTGTTAAGTGCTTGAAACTTCATGTGTTGTAGTGAAATCCGTATTATCCCGTCAAAGCCCCACATGAATCCTGATTCCATCCTGATCAGATAGCCATTGTTGATTGTTAAGCACTTCAGATGGCCACGAGAAAGGCTTCCATCATTTTTACCATTCAGCAATCAGACGTGGAATGGGAGAGCTATCCCAGAAGCAGCGCTGAGCCTGTGGCAAACTCCAATCCATGCTGGCTCAGCGTGGATCAAACTGCAAGCAACATCAGACGCACCTTCCACCCAAAAGCAGGCTGCTGCACAGGCCATACCCTGTTCTGCCAGTTGGACCGCCAACTCCATCGCTGAAAGGCGATCTTTTTGATCGTTCCGCATATATCGCGGATAAAGCCCGGGAACGCGCTGCAGGGGTTGTTGCCTTCCTGCGATGGTTTGCGCTCGGCCTGCGAACAGGCCATGCACTCGCGGCGCCAGATGCACTGTTGGGCCTTCGCTGCGTGCCACTGCGGAAGCGTGAATGGGTTATGCCCCCATTCTTCAACTTGTAGTACTGGAACCATTAATAGCTTATATGAAAATTTCCCCTACATTCCTCCGATTTTTCCCGAGAGCGTCTGAGCGAAGGGTTCTTCTAATAGTGGGGGTCTGTATCTCATCTTCTCAACTTCACACCTTCTCATCTTCACATCTTCTCATCTTCACACCTTCTCATCTTCACATCTTCTCATCTTCACATCTTCTCATCTTCACATCTTCGCATCTTCACATCTTCTCATCTTCACATCTTCTCATATTCACATCTTCTCATCTTCACATTTGCTCATCTTCACATCTTCACATCTTCACATCTTCTCATCTTCACATCTGCTCATCTTCACATCTTCTCATCTTCACATCTGCTCATCTTCACATCTTCTTATCTTCACATCTTCTCATCTTCACATCTGCTCATCTTCACATCTGCTCATCTTCACATCTTCACATACTCACATCTTCTCTTTCTCTCTCTCGCACTCACATCTTCACATACTCACATCTTCTCTCTCTCTCTCTCTCTCCTCTTTCCTCTCTCCTTTCTCTCTCTCTCCTTTCTCTCTCTCCTTTCTCTCTCTCCTTTCTGTCTCTCCTTTTTCTCTCCCTTTTCTCTCTCTCGCCTTCTTTATCTTTCTCTCTTTAGGCCGAGGGTGGTGCCGGCGGGGAGTCACGAAACGTCAACCCTTTCGCACGAAATGAGGGTCGATGCGCAAAAACTGAGGAAAAATTGCGATTTAACTTGTGCCGGAGCAACCCTTTCGCACGAAATGAGGATCGATCGTCAAAAACTAAGGAAAAATTGCGATTTTACTTGTCCTGGAGCAACCCTTTCGCACGAAATGAGGGTCGATCGTCAAAAACTAAGGAAAAATTGCGATTTTACTTGTGCCGGAGCAACGCTTTCGCACGAAATGAGGGTCGATCGTCAAAAACTAAGGAAAAATTGCGATTTTAATTGTGCCGGAGCAACCCTTTCGCACGAAAGGAGGGTCGATGCGCAAAAACTGAGGAAAAATTGCGATTTAACTTGTGCCGGACTTGTCCTGGAGCAACCCTTTTGCACGAAATGAGGGTCGATCGTCAAAAACTGAGGTAAAATTGCGATTTTACTTGTGCCGGAGCAACCTGTGTGTAAAAGCGTCTGTGTGTAGAAGCTTCTGTGTGTAAAAGCGTCTGTGTGTGTAAAAGTGATTGTGTGTAAAAGCGCTTGTGTGTAAAAGCTTCTGTGTGTAAAAGCGTCTGTGTGTAAAAGCGTCTGTGTGTAAAAGTGTTTGTGTGTAAAAGCGTCTGTGTGTAAAACAGTCTGTGTGTAAAACCGTCTGTATGTAAAAGCTTTTGTGTGTAAAAGCGTTTGTGTGTAAAAGCGTCTGTGTGTAACAGCGTCTGTGTGTAAAAGTAATTGTGTGTAAAAGCGCTTGTGTGTAAAACCGTCTGTGTGTAAAAGCGTCTGTGTGTAAAAGTGTTTCTGCGTAAAAGTGTTTGTGTGTAAAACCGTCTGTGTGTAAAAGTGTTTGTGTGTAAAAGTGGTTGTGTGTAAAAGTGTCTGTGTAAAAGAGTCTATGTGTAAAAGCTTCTGTGTGTAAAAGCTTTTGTGTGTAAAAGGGTCTTTGTTAAAAGTGTCTGTGTGTAAAAGCGTCTGTGTGTAAATGTGTCTGTGTGTAAAAGCGTCTGTGTAAAAGCGTCTGTGTGTAAAAGCTTCTGTCTGTAAAAGCTTCTGTGGGTAAAAGCTTTGTGTGTAAAAGCGTCTGTGTAAAAGCGTCTGTGTAAAAGTGTCTGTGTGTAAAACCGTCCGTGTGTACAAGCGTCTGTGTGTAAAAGGGTCTGTGTGTGAAAGTGCCTGTATGTAAAAGCGTCTGTGTGTAAAAGTGTTTCTGCGTAAAAGTGTTTGTGTGTAAAACCGTCTGTGTGTAAAAGTGTTTGTGTGTAAAAGCTTTTGTGTGTAAAAGCGTCTGTGTGTAAAAGCTTCTGTGTGTAAAAGTGTTTGCGATGCAAACTAAACTATTGTCTTGTACTTGTGCTATGTTGTCTTGATACTCCTCTTCTCGACTGCCTATAACACATCTTTAATATATTGTTTTGTAATATGGTGTCTCCATACTAACAAGAGAAGACCCTGCTCCTCTACGCTCTCGGGCCATCCGTCGTCTAGTTAAATCGTCGTCGCTTGGTGCGCCTGTCCAAGGTCACCTCGCTTGAAGGCCTCGTTGCCGGACCTCGGTTGGTCGTCGGGACTCGTGTTTTGGGAGAATTCAAACGACACAACGGGATGATTTCACCAACAAAAATGGTGGATTTCATGGGATTTAACTATGAAAAATGCTGGTGATCTAATGGGATTTAACCGTTATAAAATATGGATAAATCATGGGACATCCGTGATTTGAGAATTGTTCATGTATCATGTGGTATACGCAATGAAATTGGGCGATTTTGGCATTGTGGACTCCCCGATGAAGAGTTTGGTGGATATCATTGTTGATCATGGTTGGTTGATGGTTACCCTCTGGTAAACGTTTACATAACTATGGAAAGATCCACAATTTTTCATGGGTAAATCAACTATAAATGGGCCATTTTCAATAGCTTTTTGATGCTTTTTGTATGTTTACCAGAAGGTATCTGGAAGGTTCCTAAGTCATGGGCTACACAAAGTAGCCCCAAATCATCCAGAACACTTCGACCATTCGACCATCGAAACAAGAATTTAAGGTGACCACTGGGGATCCCACATTTTAAGACACCTCCATATGTTGGGACGATTTTATAATAACCAATGGTTATATTTAACCAACAATGGCATATTTATGACCACACCATCCATGTGTTAAATACCATATGTCCATATTTTGGGAACAAAGCCCATCTAGCACAGTTGTTACCCTCTGGTAATGTCAAAATAGCTATTGAAAATGGCCCAGTTGAAATAGTGGATTTTCCCAATAAAAAATGGTGGATCTTCCCATAGTTATGTAAACGTTTACCAGAGGGTAGTTTATATTTAACCAAACAATGGCCCATTATCATTTGGACATATTTGGACACTTTATCAAGAAGAAAACAAGAACTGCTTTACAAACAGGTAACCATGGATAAATGAACCAATGCTGGGATAATTCCACCAACAAAATGTGGTGATCTAATGGGATGTAACCAATAACATATGGATAAATCATGGGACATCCAACATGATTTGAGAATTGTTAATATGTTCATGTTAATGGGAATGCAATCGAACTTTAGTGGACGCAATGAGAATATATGAGAATATAGTGGACTTAGTGATGATTCAACCAAAGAAATATATGGATATACTGGGGATACTACGATTCAATGGAGATACCATGGGGATGTATTGGAATTGCACTGGGGAGATAATGGGAAAAATGTGCAGAAAAAACACCATTTTGAACATTTTTGAACCATACATGTGCCATGGTCAAGACATGGCACTATCCATATAATGGTCTATGAATCAGAATCAAGACAAATTGATTGCGTTCCATCCCCGAATATGAGTATATTACCACCTGGTAAACTAACATAGCTATGGAAAATCACAATTTCTAGTAGGTAAATCATGTAAATCATCTACAAATGGTCCATTTTCGCTGAGTTAAACCACCAGACGATCTCCAACTTTTGACCATGAGCTACCCCAGGCGGGCTGATCGCTGGGTCAAGTGGATATGGCACATTCATATCTCGGCCTTCCAATGACGCACCCACCTGAAATAAGTTGATTTTGGGATGGTTCCCCCAAAACCCAACATAACCCAACCACATCAATGAGTGATGTTCATTGTATACCCACAATTTGGCGGTTATAATATGGATGGCATGAAGAGATGACATAGGCCAATGCACAAGGCTTGAATCATTGAAACGTGGGCTTTCTAACCACATGATGAGCCAAAAAAATATGGAATGAATGCAGCTCATGCAGGTTGAGACGTTGTCCTCTCCGTCAGGCGTCCAATGTCTCCGAAGTGGCTTCCAAGACATAAAGCAGACCATTTGTAATTTGTAGGTGATTTTCGGACGATGTAGATCGTTTCGAACCATGGTTGTAGGTTTGTTACTGTATTCTGGGGCAAACTAGCGAGACATTTTTAGGAAATAGACCCTGGGCTACTTCAGCTCGACTGGAAGACACCAGATCTGCGGCGGACGCTTCGAGAGAAGCCTGCAACGGTTGCTTTTGATGTGCGCCACTCAGCCAACGTGTTGTTGAGTTTGTTACCATTGGGACCATTGTCACTCCTTTTGCATAGCTTTTGCAGAGATTTCTGTTTTCCTTTGGCACCACTTCAGACCTTGAGCCACTCTCATGGAGTGAAATCAGCAATGCTTCTAGGATGATCATGGAATGTCATTCGACTCCCTGTTCCAGTTCTTGTGCTAGATGAGCTCTGAGCAGTTGAGGTGTTGACAATCACAATTACAATATAACATATATAACAAGCGCTGTAATTGACCTACGTACTCTAATTGGGGTGACCCTACGTTAGTATGTGACAATTCAAAGTTTGTATTGAACCAAGAAAAATGGATGTTTAACTCATCAACACTGGGGTGAACCATCAAGTATGCTTGGAAGTGCAGTTCCAGTTGTCACTGGATATATATATATATATAGCCATAGGGATATATCTTGAGGTATATCCCAAATTAAGGGGTATAGTTCATCATCCTCAGAAACAAAATCATCTCCAGGAAAAAAAACACGACAAAAATAATCGCGCCCGAGCTGCTTCTTCAGCGTTGCCTCAACACGTCCAACACAGAAGGCCTACGCCGCGACGCAAACGCCATCCATGGGAAGTGGCAGGTAGAACCAAACGATTTTCAACAGGTTCCTTCACAAAATGTGGTTTTTAATATGTTTTAACCAGCCAACATCACGGGTCTTCACCAAAAAAACATGCTGATTCTACCAAGAAAGACGAAATTTCACCCAGAAAAATGAGGATTTCAGCAGCTTTTTCGAGGCATTAAAATTTGCGACAAAGATTAGGACCTCATCAGCCAACTCAGCCGCAGGATTTGTTGCCAACTCAAATGTGGTATGCAACAACCAAACAGGATCAGCGGGAAAAAATGAATGAGTCTTGACCATCAAACATTAATGTCTTTTTCGCCGTTTCGCAACATGTTTTTTGGGCCAACAGCCCAGCGTGGATTGAAATACAAAACGTGGGTATGACATGGTATGACCAACTAAAATATGGTGTTGAGCAACACAAATCGAACCAACACTGTGGAGTTAACCAACAAGCATTGGGGCTTGAAGAAAATGGGGATTAAGTAACCCGAAAAAAGGGACCAGCGGCAAATAATTCGATCAGAGAGTGCGCCTTCTCAGCAACAATCTTCAACATAAGTCATCATTAGTTATCATAAGTTGAGGTTTACTGAAGGAAATGGCTCAGTCAATGTTCGGTAAATGGCTTTCTTTGCAGCCGGTCACAAAGGAAATGAGAACATATCTCTGGTACGAGCAGTACATGATTTTCTCCACTGATTATATCCATGTATATCTGCTCTCTAAACCGACTTTTGTAGTAGATTCAAAACTCCAAAATTGGTTGGTGAAAAATCAGATTCATATTTAAAAGCCATGGTCGAATCCAAAGTTTGGGTCAATCCACATGAGTGTTCTTTGAATTAACACTCAATCATTTCCAAGAATTCTGTGATTCATGGGATAGGATAAAAAAAACACTTCCCAATCACTGCAAAAAGCCATCATTTGGTGGACTAAGCTCCACATCTCTGTGCAGAGATAGGTGAATCGAATGCTGTGGCCAGTGGTGGGTTCATTCAGTTCAAATTGGATTTCGAAGCATTCTTATTTACTACATATAATATTAGATATACATGATAATAACAAATTTTCACATATATATATATATATATATATACACATACACATATATACATGCATATACACATATTGTCATATGTATATATATAATACATGAATATACATGATATAATAGTTATAATATAACATATATAGATATACAAATATCTCTGTATATATATATATAATTATGTATATACATATTGTCATATATACAAAATTGTAAAATTTTATATGCACATATTCTGCAACATCTTGGATTCTTCACCCTGCAAGTTTTCCGATGCGAGATCCGACCGCTCCGACCTCGTAGCTGGCGAAATGCTGCCCTTTGACCCAAGACAAGTCGGAGGGCTTTTCCTGCGGCCCCCGAGTTATGGTGGTTTTTAAACCCTACCCATATGCTCCATGTATAGCATATTTACCAACATCTACCCCATAAATGACCCAGTTTTGTAGGTAAATATACCACACATGGAGCATCTAGGCTATTATATAACGATATATCTACCGTAAACCACAGTATAATATCAATAATCAGCAATGGGATCATATTTCCGGATGGTTTTCCCCAGTGATGGAACGTTTGGTTTATTAACCCCATGAATACTATCGTTATATCATGTTATTATCATGTTATGTCTACCATAAACCATAGAATTCAGCCACTGTTTTTAAAAAACGGCTCCAACGTTGCCGCAACGTCGCGGTTAGCGAAATTTCCCCTTAAAATTCAGAGATTTCACCGCGGGATGATGGATTTCATGGGATTTATGCAACAAAATGGTGGCAAGAAAAATGTTTTTTTAACCAATGGATGGAAAAAAATGTTTTTAACCAATGTGGGATTTAAAACCCATGGTTTCCGGTTAAGATTTTCCCTTAAACCATCTTTGGGATGATCAATGGATTGGTTTTGCTTGGGAAAATCTTAACCGGAAACCATGGTATATTACATATATATATATACTGAGATATATGTATGACAATATGTTTTATATACTGAGATAGATATATATGTTTTGCTGGGTTTTTACCATTATATAAATATGGAGGTTTCCTTTCTTAATTTTCCCGTCCAATCTAATGAAACACTGCTTGGTGGTTGACCTACCCCTCTGGACAAAAATGATGGAGTGAGTTCGTCAGTTGGGATTATGACATTCCCAACTGAATGGAAAGTCATAAAGTTCGTGTTCCAAACCACCAACCAGAACAATAATGGTGAATGAATTTGATTTAACCATCTTGTTTAACCATATATTGATGTTTATTAACCAATGAATTTGGTTTAAATATGGTTAAATACACCATTTAGATACACCATTATATTCAAATATATTTAACCATTTTTTTTGTCGTCAAATAAGGATACATAGGGATAGAATAGGGATAATAATGAGAACCATTATGGTATGAAGCATCAAATATCCCTATTATCCCCAGTATCCTGCAAATATATCCCTATTATTCTCAACAATGGTATTTTACTCCATCAAATGAGGATATAATAGGTATATAATGGGGAGAATACATGGGATTCTTTTGACAGGGACATAATATGATATAATTAGGAGATATATGGGATTCTTCATGATTCTTCCAATATAATGGAGATAGACCAGGCATTATAAGGAACCAGGCGTTATAAGGAACCATCAATTAATGGATTTTCACCAGCCCAAACTTTGAAATGGAACAAGCAGGGATAATAATGGAATCATATTAGGATTTAAGCATCATCAGCGGAGATTATTTAGCCAATGTTCATTATGGTGTGTATCATCATGTGTCATGGTGAGAAGACTCTACCGTAGTGGGAGACGGTGCTGCATTCGACCAAAGAAACATGGGGGTATCATGTTTAGGACGTAGTGCTATACCCAAGAAGACGTGTTTAAACTGACTACCAGCAATCCACGTGTTTGACTGGTTGATGGTTCGATCATTGGTCCCTCAAGGAAATCTAAAAAAGATCACCCCAGATTCCAGATGGTCAATAAACGATATGTGAAACCACCCCAGCCGCATCATCATGAGACCAATTTTTTGATCCGCATTGTTGAAATCATTTTCCAATCGACGTCTTGTTCAAAAACCTCTTAGCTGCTAGTTCATCTGATATTGAAAAGTTGATCAAGACCAACATTTTGCAGCTGGGGTGAAAACCATTTGTGCAACGTGTTTATTGATCAGAAATGATCAAAACCAGCATGTTCGCTAGTGAAAAAACATTTTTTGCCATAAAAAAAATGTTATTGTCAATGGACTGGTTTAGGGGAAACCTACAGGAAACTATAGTTTTTTCAAACCATCAAATATGGTTTTCCTGCGCCATTTTCCCTTGAACCACGTCTGCGAACCATGCAAATTCAAAGTTGTTCCCATTTTTATCCGCCAGAAAAAAACAACATCTTGCTATATCTTGTTGGTTTATATATAACGCATTGCTTTACCAAAAAAACGCGTCTTTAAACACGTCTTCTCTCGGTTCAAAAGCAGCACCTTTCGTTCCCGGCACCTTCAGCTGTCGTTTCCAGTCATCCTCTTCACGGCGTTTCTGTTCCAAGACCTCTGGTTGCAATTTTCGCCGAGCGCCGTTTTTTTGGGAGCTGAAGTCATTGATGATCCCAGGGATATTTGAAAAAGCTGTGATCAGTACCCTCTGGTAATTGGTAATTGGATATATAAATTAGCTATATATGATAACTATAGTTGGATCATAAATTATAATGATTACCCTCTGGTAAATTAACAGTTGGACCCTGAAACTCATCAATTTCGAGTGGAAACTCATCTTCCAAGCCTCATCTGGCAGGGTCTATGTTAATTTACTGGAGGGTATATTGGGATATCATGGCTTCATTGGTTATGACTGTGAATTCTATGAATCTGGCTGAATCATCCTTGAAAAAAATATTCATCCTCCCAACATGTTTGATGTACCATCTGGTTATTGAACATAGCTATGGTATAGATGGCCCATAGAAACAGATGATTTTCCCAGCTAGAAACCTCCATTTACAATGGATTTTCCAGTTCGCTATGTTAGTCATGACCAGATGGTAAATAGGAAATTTATAGGAAAAAATCCAGGGATTTGACTCTTAACAGTTTAATACGTAAAACTTCACCAACTCACATGGCTGCCTAATATCATTTTTAAGTGGGAAAGCCAATGGAAAATCAACCAAATTTTGATGGGGAATGCTGGCCATGGCTGTGAACGAGTGAACCAACATGGCCATGGGTTATTCAATCTACAATCACTGGATTGGTTTAAGGGAAAATCTACAGGAAACCATGGTTTTTACCATCAAATATAGGGCTTTCCTGCAAATTTTCCCATCATCCAATTCTATGATACAAAAATAATATGTTTTTTTTGTATGAAGAGCTTGGGAATGATGATATGTAATTACTGGTTGGTGGTGCAATAACCATCTTGAAAAAATGAGTTCGTCAATGGGGAGGATTATCCCATATATAAAATGTTTGAAACCACCAACCAGGTAATTATAATAAACATGTAATTAATGTTAAGCCAGGCTCATGAATATGTGATAAGTCCAATCCCCCGAATATTCAACACCCCCAGAAACCATGCTTTGAACATAGGGAATTTGCACATATTTAAGGGACCATAGGCTTGAGGTGTTTTTATATTAGGGGCATGGTATTCATCATGTGTTTCATTGCGGTATACTGCATGGTACCACATCATATTCCCATTCATACTTGAAAAAACCATAGCATACAATGGTCATACGATATATATATATATACGTACATATATACACCATAATCATCAAATTGAGAAATCTCAACTTCCCCAATGAGTATATCATTGTATATCATGGCAACAAATCACCAGTTTTCATGGCTCTTCATAGTTTATTCTTATGGTATACCCATGACATGTCATGGTTTCCCGACCGCATCCATCTGTTCTCGGGCGTCCCAAACCTGCGACAGGAGATCGGGAGAATCATTGGGAGAATCATTCCTCCTTTTTCACATTTACCCTCTGGTAAACGTTGACATAACTATGGAAAATCACAATGTTTAATGGGTAAATCCACTATAAATGGCCATTTTCAATAGCAAACTGTTTGTTTACCAGAGGGTAAAACATTTTAACCCAGCTAGATTTTGATTATCCCATGCTTATCCCATGTTTTGCTGAGTTGGGAGAATGTACATTCCATTTGCAAGCGCGTTACATAAAAACAAAGTACCAACTTCCCGTTTCAAAAAAGGACTCCCCAGCTGAAAATTCGTCACCAAGGCTCCCAAGCTGGGTATCCAGCGGAGATGCCCAGCGCTGCAGAGAAGCTATTGAAAATGGCCCATTTAATGTTCACATGGCGTTAATAAACCCACCCACCATAAAGTACGGCAACTTTTTTTACCGTTTTTTTTCCTTTAGTATGCGTGTTCAATTAGGCAATTCATTTGTGAATACGTAAGTGTTTTTTCCGTGTTTTTTTTCCGTTTTTTTTTCTCTTTATGTATTCGTTTTCAATTAGGCAATTCATTTGTGAATACTAAAGTTGTTTTCCGTTTTTTTTTCATTGTTTTTCCCTTTATGTATTCGTTTTCATTACCACCATTACCCTCTGGTAAACTAACATAGCTATTGAACATGACCCATTTATTTATCCATTAAATAATGGTGATTTTCCATAGTTATGTTAGTTTACCAGAGGGTGATCTTATCAGGCTTCAAATCAGCACTTTCATGAAAACAGCACTTCAAGCATATCTTCAGGAAAAACAGAAAAACAAGATGATGCCATGTCTCACTCTTCTATCTGCGCTTGGATGCGACATAGTGACTTATCTCCCTCAAAGCAGCCAGGGAAACCCCAATAGGAACAGGCCTGTGAACTCCTATCCTTGTTAGTTGGCAAATCTCCACGTTTTTACTCCGTAAATCATGTTTCACGATTCTTGACCCTACATAATTAATATAATTAACTATCAAGCAACCAAGCATCATTGGTTTACGCCATCATTTTTGCAGACATCGTGTGGTAAAACCAATCATATCCATCAAATGGGGGTCTGGCCTGGATATTTAGAGAACCACCCCCCAACTTTCATGGCATGGTTAAATCACAATGTTTGCGGCTTCGCAACCTACTTTTCCTGACAAAATCACAACTTTGGATGATAATTAACCCTAAACAATCAATCATAACCCATGATATTCCCACCATTTCCCGTGAACTTTCTGGTTTTTTTTGGAAGGTTCAACAACCACAACTCGAAGAGTTGCACCGTCCTCCCTTTGGGTCTAGCAGGATGCGCAATCCCAGACATTCCCATGTCCATGGATCCTTTAGTTTTAGTATGGCCACAAGTCGATAAAAAACATACAACATGGTTAACTATATATAATATACACATACGCTGATGTATAAACCATTATAAACCCATCCAATCAAACAAATCATAGTCACCTCAAATTTACCATGCTCAGAACACGTCATATTTTGGTTTTCATGCTCTGTCCCTAGGAAATTGGATCGATTCTTCTCATCCCCCAATGTCAACCATGTAACTTGACCATGGCACCCATGGCACATTTAAAAAAAAAAAACATATACAAAAACCCTGGATCCAGAAATGAGTTGGTCTGAACATGAGGTATATCCCGCGAAATTTCCACATCGTCATTTATTTTTGGTTGATTCTTCAATGGAATCATAATGGAGTTAAGGATGCACGTACCTTATTTTCAACCCAAATCCCCAAAGAAATCCCACCAACTTCTGATGACCTGCTTCTTTTCTTCCTTTTTCAGCTCCTCCCATGACACCTCAAAAAATGATGCGAGCTAAACTTTTCGTTGGTGCGTTTTGGAACATGGAGCTTTCCTGAAATGGGGGACACCCCAATAGCTGGATGGTTTACAATGGAACATCCTATTCAAAACATGGATGACAACTAGGGGTACCCCTATGACTTAGGTAACCTCCATATGGAAAACATGTTCTTATTTGATTTCTTTGGCTGATGAGAAGGCAGATGTTGATTTATAGCTTTTCTGATACTGGTACATGAACACTTTTCCTGGCGAGAATTTGCAACTTTCCCCAATCAACTATCTGTTTTTTTGGTGGGGATGCTAATCCAAGTACATTAGGCAGTGACATTCCAAGGGTCTTATGCAATGTCAAGGTTTCTTTCTTGGGGCATCGCGTCGTAAATGGGACATAATTAACCATAATCGACCATAATTAACCATAATTAACCCTTGTATACCCCAAAGCACTTACGATTCCTGTGATGCTCCCGTGATGAATTGCTGGTGGGCAATTTCTTTTAAACCCTGTGGGACCAGCGAAGCCAAAAAAGGAGTGGTTAGAAAGGTTTACTAGAATGGTTGATATATATATATATATAGAGTATTAGAAAGTATTAGAAAGCCAACCATATATATATATATATATATTGGTTAATATGGGTTACTTTCTAAAAAACTGTAACATTTTCATTTTTTGGGGTTACCCATTTTTTATAACATATTGATAGTTACAGTATAATTAATATATTGGTTACCCATAATCAAGGGATTTACATATGGATTTACCTGATACTGTAATTATAAAAACTCAAAAATTCATCAGCCACAAGGGAGGGCCCTTGAGTTTCTTGGCCCAGCAAAAAAACCATGAAAGCTATAGTTTTCATGACTATTTTCCCATAAACCAGGGTAAATGAAGTCATGTTCACCAAGTTACCTATCGTTGGCCGTACAGTCTAGAATCTAGAAGCCAAAATTTGTGAAAGATCCAGAGGTGAATCTTCAAGTCGTTTGTCGTATAAGGTTTCCTACAATGGGTACCCTGAAACCGTGGGTTGCACTACTAAAATGGTCATGACTTGGATGATTTGGGGATACCCACAATTTAGGAAAACTCCATAACCTTTCATGTGCGACCATTGTCCTTTGTGTCGAAGACCAGCTAGACGATCATGCACATAGATTGTCGTCTGATCGGCGACTTCAAGACATGGGCCCAAGCATGAAGGGATCGCCTCATCCTTGTTTTTGCCGTGCATTTTCACTAGCCAATAGTGGTAGATGAACTCATTCAACTTCTCAACCAGTTGGCGATCAACTTCCCGACCAGAGGTCTGGTAAACCTGAGGGAGCATCGCTGACAACGACCCCGGGTCAAGTCTAAGCATGCCAGGCCTTTCTGCCTTGGTTTTCCCACGGAGCCGTTGCAGACGAACCACTTTGGTACCCCATGGCCATGCAGAGTATAAGTATATCATCAAGTCTTATTGGCGGTAACGTTGCAACATGTTGGGTAGACGCGGGGGTTAGCCCAGAAATTCCTGACCTTGCTGCGCTGGGCTATCCTCCCCGTCAGAATGAGAGAGGCCAGATGACTGTTGGGGGCTGGCGGGTTGGGGTGGGGGGGATGTTAACGTTGCATGTGACTTGCTCACGTTGTTGATGCTACGCCACGCAGGGGTTGGGGTGGGGTGGCGGGGAGATGTTAACGTTCCATGTGACTTGCTCTCCTTGTTGATGCTACGCCACGCAGGGGTTGGGGTGGGGGGGGGGATGTTAACGTTCCATGTGACTTGCTCACGTTGTTGATGCTACGCCACGCAGGGGTTGGGGTGGGGGGGGGGATTTAACGTTCCATGTGACTTGCTCCGTGTTGATGCTACGCCCACGCAGGGGTTGGGGTGGGGGGCATGTTAAACGTTCCCATGTGACTTGCTCACGTCCGCCACGCAGTGGTTGGGGTGCGGTGGGGGGGGATGTTTACGTCCATGTGACTTGCTCTCGTTTTGATGCTACCACGCAGTGGTTGGGGTGGGGGGATGTTAACGTTCCACGTGACTTGCTCTCGTTGTTGATGCTACGCCACGCAGGGGTTGGGGTGGGAGGGGATGTTAACGTTCCATGTGACTTGCACTCGTTGTTGATTCATGCTACGCCACGCAGGGGTTGGGGTGGGGGTGGGATGTTAACGTTCCATGTGACTTGCTCACGTTGTTCCATGTGACTTGCTCACGTTGATGCTACGCCACGCAGGGGTTGGGGTGCCATGGGGGGGGATGTTAACGTTCCATGTGACTTGCTCTCGTTGTTGATGCTACGCCACGCAGGGGTTGGGGTGGGGTGGGGGGGATGTTAACGTTCCATGTGACTTGCTCACGTTGTTGATGGTACGCACTTTACACATGAGTGTTCCTGGTTAGACAGATGACACATGGAAAAGATTTGAAAAACATACCACACACTTTAGACATGAGTGTGATAAAAGGAGTGAAATTCAAGACGAAAAAAACGCGACGATCTACTGTAAGGGTTCAAAAATCCGTTCAGATTTTCAAAAAATGATCGAAAAGTTCATACACGTGTCTATGAACAAAGGAAACCATGTTTCGCAATGAACAAGCAGGCAAATGAATTGATGCCGCAAAAAAAAGATACGCCGCCTAGGCGAAAACGAAGTTTTCTAACATGAACGATCTGAGAACATGAGGTATGATGAAGTGGAGAATACTGCAGCCGCGACGCTTCTTGGGTTCTGGGCACATGTCCTTATTTGGGAAGATAATCATCGAGCTAAAGTCAACTATCTGTGTGAACGCCTGCTGGGTGCGTTTCCAGTTGAGTGCCGACATCTCCACCATGAACTTGCTTTGGATGGTCGGATGGCAGGCGCATTTCTCAATGCTAACCCCCTAATCTGTTCACTTATGCTGCACATCTTGGTGAAATCCCACATTTTATGCTGCATGGCCAATCTCGGATATGCAAAAAAAACTGGTTGGTATAGATAGATAGATAGATAGATAGATTAGATTAGATTAGATTAGATTAGATTAGATTAGATTAGATTACATAGATGGATGGATGGATAGATAGATAGATAGATAGATAGGTATAGATAGATATAGATAGATAGACAGATAGACAGATGGATATATGGATAGATGGATAGATGGATAGATGGATAGATGGATAGATAGATAGATGGATAGATGGATGGATAGATAGATAGATAGATAGATAGACAGATAGATATAAGATATATTTATACAATTTATACACCATATCCGGCAACAACACCGTTCTACCTGACCCTCAGATTTTGATGGCTAACTCCCGTACTGTCATATACTTTCTAGTTCTAAACCAACTTACCTATTATTCATCGCATAAATATAAGCCCCAGTTTTGCTTGGTCAAATCCTGGTATATGCTGGTGAAATCTAGTTTTTGCTGGTTTTAGATCATCATTTTTGTTGACAGTGAAAACACAATTTCGATGGTTAAGTCAGAATTTTGATGGTCAAATCCCAATTTTGGGTGATGATGCCATGTTGGTCCCCCGAAAACCGCGCCGCTTTCCCCAACCATCCACACGTGCCACGTCGCCCTAGGCCGCCCCGCGTCGCCAGTTTGGAGCCGCTCCTCGCGATCGTCCTCGCCAATCTCGTTGAACCTGCAGGATTTTTGATCTCATTGATGGATATTAATGGATCTATCAATTGATTGATATAGATCTATTAACCACTATCAATCAATATCTGGTTGGTGGTTGACCTACCCCTCTGAAAAATATGAGTTCATCAGTTGGGGGTTATTACTCCCAATATATGGAAAAAAAAATGTTCCAAACCACCAACCAGAGTTGGTTGATAGGTGTAACCCTACTATCATAGTACAAGTCCCAATAGTAACCAATGAACCAGGATATCTTTAATGGCTCGGTGAAGAAAATTTCCACATTTGCCATGGCCACGGGGCAGGGGGTATCGTCGTCCGATCATGAGATTGCTTCCAATGGGTCTGTATAAAATCCCTAAATCCCTTCTATCCCCTTCTAACCGGGAATTATATACATACCAAATATAGGCAGATTAACTATGTTCTGACTATGACACATGACACATGACTGAGCAGTGTTCAAAACCCGCGTTGCGCCGTCCCGCTATCTACTGCTGGTTAATAGGATTTCCCAGTTGATGGATTAGGACAATCCCTAATATACTGAGTAGAGCAACCCCCTATGATAATCTACCAACAGGGGTTTTGAACACTGCCCAACTGGGCACTATATACCAACAATACGATATACATGGGGATATATGATATAACTGCCAACAATATGAGATTTCGAACACTACATGCTGAATATTGTGCAATAAACACTTGATACATGTGGTGTTGTCATCAATCCCTACGTGGGAATCCTTATTATGGGTACCCTCTGGTTATTTAACATAGCTATGGAAACTGGTCCATAGATGATAAACATGATGATTTACCCAGCTATAAAATATTATAAAATGATGATTTCCCAGTTCGCTTCGTTAAATCACCAGAGGGTATATAGTGGTTTCCTAAAATAGGGGCACCCCCAAATCATCCAGTTTACATTGGGATTTTGCATTATGGGTACCCTCTGGTAAACTAACACAACTATGGAAAATCACATGTTTTAATGGTAAAACTCACTATAAATGGCCATGTTCAATAGCTATGTTAAATTACCAGAGGGTAATGGGTATATGATATCCTTTGAAAATGGAATGACACCCATCCCCATTTTTTGTGCAAACCTGTACAACGCCTCAGAGAATCCGAGGCAAAGGTTTATATGCAAACTTAGCACATGGGGTGTGACCAAGTAGTTTATTGAAAAAGAAAACTCGTTACTTCATGTCTAACAAAAAAAGGGTCAAACAAATGCTACTTACTTCGTTGTGTTTCTATTGTTTGAAGTAAAATGGGTCAACCAAAAATGACAGAGTGGTTTCTTTGATGGGCCATGAGATTCGCCTGACGTTGATTAGTCTTGTTGGTTTCCCCTGGAACCATACCCACATATAATCTAAGTATAATCCATCTATTCAATGGGAATGTCAGGATCCTAACATGGAGGAACTGTACCATTTTTGAGGCCATAGTTTGTTGGGATATTCCCTGAAAATTGGGCCTGAGGTCTTATATGTCTGGCCATTGAACGTATAATCCATTTACAAACTGGTCTTATATGTCTAATATAATGGCCATATATAATGGCTCGAACTCCAGCCGAAGTGGGCCCAACTACCACCAGCTTTCATTGCACCTGCTGTAGTCTAAGCGATCAGGTTTTTGCTCCTACCGGAAGATGTCGAAAGCTGAAGGATTTCGCGATTTTAGTTTCGGAGGTCACCTGAAATTTGATCTTAACTCCCGGATTTCTATAGGGGATAGATAAATCATGAGAATTAAAGATTTAAATGGCTTCTATATATATATATCCAAATATATGCCAGGTCGGGATAAACTAGGTATCAGCCAGTGTCAAACTGTGGACCCCAATTTCCAGGGTCATCGAACATGGCATCAACGACCCAAAAAAATGTTGGGCAAGACATGTTACTTGTTACATGGTGATCCCACGACAACGAATTTGCTTCCAATGGGGAACAAATGCCAATGGGAAATAACATGTGCAATTCCTTTTATGGGGAGATGAGCCAGGTTTTGACCATGACGCATATGTTGTTTGTATATGTTTGTATGTGACATAGCGCTCCAAAGTCCTTACACGGATTCGGCAACATAACATTTAGGCTCCCTCGAAACATTGTATCGGGTCAACACTAATCTAAATGATGAAACATACACGTTGCGTTTTATCATTCCATCTTAAATATTACTTGGTAACTAGGTATCTCTACTATGGCAATGGATCTATGGTATATACTCTATAGATATCTATACATATCTAAAATCAAAAGCAATAAACATCAATACACCAGGTTCATCAGCGACAATCATAACCAATCAGGCTTTTTCTGATGGCGACTTCCCGTCCTGAGAAAGCACCTCCAAAGATGCGCAAGTGTTGGGGGACACCAGTCTATGCGACTGGGGGATATTAATCGGTTGATTTGCAAATAAGCCAAGCCGATCATCAATGATCTATTTTGTCCATGTTTGTCCAATCTATTACCCTCTGGTTATGTCAAAATAGCGACATAGAAAATTGCCCATAGAAATAGCTGATTTACCCATAAAACATTGTGATTTTCCATAGTTCTGTGTAAACGTTTACCAGAGGGTATGTGCTATGCTTCTGAAATAAGATCCACCTATTCCATGGGAATTTCAGGATCCTAAAATGCAGGTACTGTACCATTTTTGAGGCCATAGTTTGTGGGGATATTCCCTTACATAGGCCTTATATAGGCCTTATATATGATAGGTACCTCCGGTTTAGGTTCCTGAAATGGCCATTGATCTATTATGATCTATTGATCAGTTCATTGGTATTTTTCCAATGATCAGTTCAGCCCTGATTGATCAAAAAAGGGTTGACGCCTTGTCGCATCCAAAATTCCAACCGCAGCATGCCCTGAAATGCGAACGATGGTGCTGGTATATTTACCTACAAAACTGGGTCATTTATGGGGTAAATGTTGGTAAATATTCCAGCACCATGGGTTGCATATGGGATGGGCTATCCATATTTTCGTGATCAGCCATGGGTCCCATGGTGAAAAAAGTCGGGTCGACAAGGACCTCCAAAACGACAAGGTATCCATAGGGGATTCCATGGAAGATATCATCCACTGAGATCAGAACCCTGTTTCTGTAACATTCAGATTCACGGTCTTGGGGGTTGGCGATATTTCTATTAATTTTGATTGTTCTACGGAGACTTTGAAGGATACAAAGCCAGACTTATAGGGGTCGGTTATATCACATATCTATCTATCACTTATCCCACCTTCTTATATCTTTTGTGGCCATCACCAAAAAAAACGCCGCACGCTTCACCGCTTTTGACACGGATCGACTCACCCTGCTGTCCTAGTGACGCGGGAGTTGACTCTGTGTCAGCCGTCTCTTCAGACATCTGGTGACATCTGGAAGTTTTTTGATGGTTCAAAAATCTCCACATTTGGGGCTCTCGGAAAAGCCATGGCTATACTCCTGAGGTTTTGATTTTCTACTTTGGTTCTAAAATCTGACAGCCAAGACTCGCCAGCAATTTGAGAACTGGGCAGTTAAGGCCTTTCTCTCGGAATTTTGATAGACGGTTTTCCAAAATTTCGATGGATCAAAGATACTGCCAGTCAGGTTAGCACGAAAATCGCTGGGTTTTTTAAAAGGGTTATTTAAGGGCTCCCACTGAAGGGATGAAATGCCATGAAATGCCCAAAGCATCTTCAAAGCCATAGTATCCGATAGTACTATACCGTGTGATACGTGTATAGTATAGGTATATCTCAAAAAGAATATATGAATATGTGAATCTGAATGTGTATGTATACATGTATATAATATTGATTAATATTGCACATATGTTGGTCATTTCCAGCCATGTTACAATTTTTGAAGGGTAGTATATTCTGACCATGGATCTTCACCCGATGTGGGTCCATTAGCTGCCCTGGCTGCTAGCTAGCTGAGTTGGTTTATAACTCGATCCCCAAAATTCCATAGGTTTCAATACTAAAATGATCTAAGTTTGGATGTTTTTTTGTTCGGGTGCCTTTATTTTAGGAAACCTCCATATGTCGTTGATGATACTTACAGACTTATTTCTATCTGTTTCTAGTTCACCTCGTGGCGAATCTTACGAATCGCCAGAAACAAGACTGAAGAGGATGGCAGAACTAGCTGAACATGATGTTTCTCCATGTGTGGCAAATTCACAACTTATTATAGAGTAAATGCCTCACTTTACTTGCTTCCCTGTGGCAAACAAAGGGCTTTCTAGCTTTTGGTGGAATTTTAAAGAATACTCATCATGAACTCGACCAAAGATTAGCCTAAGCAAAACCATTGGCCCACGTCTAGCCATCATTTACCAGCTGGTTATTCAACATAGCCATGGAAAATCCCCATTCATTTTTAATAGGTAAACCATCTATAAATGGGCTATTTTCATGGCCATGTCAAATAACCAGAGGGTATACTCCTACACTTTTGACCATGAAGCTACAAAACCCGCGGAGAGGGATTTCCAAACCATCTGAATGAGTTGGTGCGTGCAGCCCTCCCAGCCTGAGAGACGTTCAGAGAGATTCGGCTCAGAGCGATCAAACACATATTTTGGGATATCTTTGATCATTAAATACTCCATGGTAAAAAAGGACCCGGTTTTTCAATGGCTTGAAAGGAACAAGAAAAACAGAGGACACCATAGGTATTACCACTATGTCCTGCAGATGTTCCCACCAATCCAGTGAAGTGTTGTTGGTCAAGGGGCTGAAAACTCCATGAGTGAAGTCTAGATAAACAAAAAGTGCCCTTGTCACCCCAAGAGTCAAAAAACAATCCATGCCTACGTTTATATAATTGTATAAATATGATATCAGGCTTCATTCTGATTGATATTAACATGGAACCATCAACCAAATACTTCCTTCGAGTCTATGTCTTCACTGGTGAACGGATAGCCTCTCAGGCTATGGCAGGCACCCACAGCAACGCAAAAGTGGACCCGCACCAGTCATGGTCCCTCGACCGTCGGATGGGCCGGGTGAAAATTTTCCAATCAACGTTGAACAATGGAACGCTCCCGGCTCCATTGGGAAAATGCTGGACCGCTCTGTGGTGGAGCAATCTAGCAAGGTGCAGCAAGGTATGGAAAAGAGAATGCTGGACCGCTCCCTGGCGGAGCAATCCAGCAAGGTATGGAAAAACTGGCTGTTGACCATTTAGCCAACATGATTTTTCTGCAGGTTTTGACAAAACATCGCTCATTCAAAGAAGTAACAATAATTTTCCATCACCAACTTCGGATTATACTTACTATATCCTACGATTGTACTAGGGCTGAAAATATGAATATAACTTGTATAAATATAGTTGTTAGCAATAATATACCATGACCAATCTTAGATACCATCCAACATATGATTTTCTCTAGACAGTATATGGAGGTTTCCTAGAATGGTGGGAACCCATTTTTTATCATCAATTTTAATAGGATTTCCCTTATAAATTATAAACCATCCATTTTTGGGTATCCCATTTATGAAACCCTCCATATACTACTATTACTATTATCGTTGAATATTGCTAGTACATATACTATTAACGTTCATGATATATGGCTACTATAGTTACTATATTGTAGTTAAAGATAGTATTATAGATAGTATTCATACAGTAGTACTGTACTTTCTTGGCAAACAACACTATGAAAGAACCTTCTCCAGTCAAGATGATCCAGCTTAAACAACATCTGCGAAAGACAAGCATTTGGGCAACATGGTGATTTCCATCACTATAGTTATATTGCTGGCCATATACTATGTTATGAAATGATCATAACTTATATATATATGATATCTATGATGATATCTTATGTATAAATTTGTATAAATACATATACTGTCTATGTTCGAACAATCATATGTTGGATGGCTCACCGGACAACTCGATCCCCTTCGTTAAACCACCACTTTTTGGGAGCCCTGAAAAACCATCGGGGCGAGAACCCGCCGAGAACTCGCCGTATATCTGCTGAAACATCCTGATGTCGGTAAAACCATCATGTTTTGAAGAAACACACATCCGTTTCGCCTTTTTGGTGACTATAAATCAAAGTTTTTCATACTATCCGATCCATATTTTATCATAGTTTACCTCAAAATTTGAAGCTTAAAACCAAGCCACGTTCGATTCATTTTCAGTTCGTAAGATATTCCCGGTTCCATGGCTTCGGGATTTGACAACAGCCAGGAATACCAGCATTGCAAAGGCAAAAAGGCGGCGGTTTTCCGCTGTTCAGTGGCGGAAACGGCAGAAAAGGTCAAAAAATGATACAAAATGTGCTGGGAAGGGCGCGAACAGACCTTGGGGGCTGCAGCCCTTGTGGAAGGTGACGACAGTCATGAAGATTTGGGGCACATCTGGCACATATCCTTATTCTAGTTATAACATGTTATAACGAACTAGTATTCATATGTATTCATGGGGTTTATAAACCAACTTAGAACTGGGCCCCACATTCCCAGATGCTCCATGGTGCTGGTATATTTACCTAAAGAACTGGGTGATTTTTAGGGCAAAAGTTGGCAAATATTCCAGCACCATGGATCATATGGGTTTGATTGGGAATCCCCATTATATCCCAATGATCACGAAAGAACATCCACCATGTACCAGATATGATTTTTCCATCTAAAGATCCACATTTTCCCCAGGTCATGCTAGCCTCACTACTTCTGCACATATGGTATCCCCAAAAAATCTCCAAACGTGTATGACTTAATGTTCCTATTGAGATAATCATGGGTAACAAAAATACACGATTCTTGCAAACAAAGCCAACTATCATCAAATGTCATCAAATATCAATGGTATGGGTAATGATCGGAACTTTAATATTGGTAGCTACATCTCCCACTATCAACCCCTTATCATCCCATCATGGCAGCGTAAATCCGGAATCTTAAGTCGCTTGCAATTTATAAGCCATATAAACTATACAGATATGGATTGGTTGTACCATTTTACATTCTCAACATTTTCCTGCATCACTGACATGTATTTTTTTCGATCTCATAATGAATCGTTTAAACTATCACTTACAGTGCTACCTCTGGATGTTTCATATTGGCACTTGGCACCAACAAACATCACAACCAAGTGACCCAAGTGGTCTTTCCGTTCGCCGTCCAGTCCAGCGACTGTGGAAAACACCTGGCGTCTTTGGTAGCAAAAACGCATGGTGAATGGGGGATGTTTATAATACGAGTACTAGGGGGAAGGGTTTTTCATGGTGATGGAATGGGATTTTATGGGTAGTCCGTATCATGGGATATAGAACCAACATGGCGGAGATATATATATATATAATGATGTGTCTGAAGGGGGATTCCCCCTGGATGGACCGGTAATTATAAACAAAAAACAAACAACACCCAAGGAACTCTGATTTTCCTTGGGAGGCCGAGCGAGTCAAATCAACCAGGATTTTTGTCTACAGTGATTCTGTCCGACTGCGAGAATGATAGCTTTGGGCCGGTTGCGATACCATTTACCTAATGATTGTGAAATCTAATGATTGTGAAATAATTTATCTACAGTAATCTAATCTAATGGTTTAGAATCATCTATCTAATGGTTGTGAAATCGGGCCTCGATCAACAGACTTGAATTGGACAACAGAACCGGTCAAGAATTAGGGCCTGAGCACATCCAACAAAGGGATTCACTACCAGCATCAAGAGAGATAAACGATGATAAACCTGTATCTTATCCCAAGTGATTCTTTCATGGGTCCAACCAACATTCATCACCTGTGCTGAGTTCATTTATTTTAGGTCCAACGAATCAGGATTCAAGTGGATCAAACATCTTCAATCTCCATATTTCTTCATAGAATCCTATGGAATCCCAAGTTTTTGCCAGCGCTAAAAATGGATGGGGAGTTTCAGCATGTTTCAGCATCGAACCCTGGATCAAAGCTACAAAGTTAGGCTCGGCTGCGGACCCAACCGAATCCCGATCCGCTACCGGTCGAGCCTAGACATCTCGAGCGCTCGTGACCAGAGCTACGACTCACTTCGAGTCCATCCTCAGCACATCGCGGACATTGACGAACTGCACTTCCTTCAGGAGGTGAATGACCTCAGTGCGATGAATTTTGGAAGTTTTGGAGACCTGGGATGGTTAGAAAGCCTCGAGATGAAAGCCGCTTTGAAAATCATGGGATGTTTCTCCTATAGCTTTACCACCTATTGACTGTGCAGGATTTACCATCCACAGAAAATGATCATGTGATGATGTGATTAAATCATTTAAATGATGGTCGGTTCACTTTGTTTGGGCCTTTTTGGCAGGGCAAAAAATCCACGTCCTGAGATGCCCGTTTGACCGGACCCCCGATGGTCCTATCATGTCCCATCTTATTCTGAAAAACATTGTTGGAACAACGTTGAACATCATTTTTTCTTATAGGTAACCATCTATAATAAAAAATCATCTGTGAATGGGCCACTAAAATACCCATAAAAATACCATAGCTCTTGTTAAATAACCACAGATCAAAAATCACATGCACGGTGAACATTCTCCCAAGCAACGTCCGCATGGGAACCCGCAATGTCAGCTTTTCCTGAGCGATGTTGGCAGGTGCTTTTGGGATTCAACATTAAAAAAATAACAACGTGTAGCTTCTGGTAATTTGTTACATAGCTATTGAAAATTGCACCTGTAGGTTTGATTTACCGTTCTTAAAGATTGTGATGTTCTATGGCCTTGTTAGTTTACCAGTAAAACCTTGAAAAGATAAGGATAAAATCATTTAATGAAGAATTCTTTGCAAAAATGGAGTTAACAGTTAGCAGTGTGAATCGGGGAGGCTCATTGCGTTACAGGGCTAAAAACTTAACCGGCCATTCACCTTTCAGTTCGCTCCGCAACTAGCAATGTTTCCTGCTTCCAAAGCTCTCATGTTTGACATCAAATCCCAATCTTTAGTTGGTTTGTCTCCCATTCTTCCAGTTCAAATCCATGTTTTTGGCGTTTTAAGCCTTTATCACCCTTTTTGGCAGTTCACATCCCATTCTATCCTCAAAAAATACCTATTAAATAATCATTAATTCCCTCATTTTCACTGGTAAAATCACCATTTCATGAAGTTCTCCACTATATATATATATATGCAAATGTATATACATATAAATATAATATATGTATGTAAACATATATATATATGTAAACATACACACACATATATATATATAAATAAATGTATACACTTATAAATATGTATGTACCCCAGTGGTTGGAGTTCATTCCCCATTTGAGCATTGTTCAAAATCTCTGTCATTCCATAAAATACTGGTTGATTAATTGGGGCTCCCCGATTGGATTATTCAAATCCCCAAAAGTTATATTGGCTAGTATAATCCCTTATCATCATCAACCAACATAGGTTTTGAACACTGCCCAACTGGGGATGAACAAAAACCAACAATACAAGTTCGATATATGTATAAGTTTGCTAAAATAGGGGTACCCCCAGTTCTCCTCCATTTTATTTTGGAATTTTCCAATCTTTGGGGTGCCCGCATGACTATGGAAAACCACTAACATGATATAACTACCCATATCAATATTGTGGTTAGATAAATTATATATATATATATTCAACATGGGGTTTTCCATAGTCATGGGCGTACCCTCTGGTAAACTGCTATTTGTGGAAAATCACCATCTTTAAGTTTGGTAAATCAGCTATGTCAATGGCCATTTTCAAGTTCGCAAACTGTTCGTATTGTGGTTAGTTATATCATATTCATATGGGGTTTTCCATAGGCATAGATTAATCATAGATTAACCATAGATGGCATTATATGATAGTTTCCATAGTCATAGGCCTACCCCATATGTTATTCAACTTACTTGTGCTTAGTAGGGAATGAGTGAATGATCCACAATAACTACCAATAATAATCCCATTCCCCCATTCCCATCCCTTCCCTACTAAGCAACAGCAAGTCAATGGCTCATCGAATCAATGGCCCAAATCGGTAAGGACAAGAACGCTCCGGCTGCCACGCGGCTGGCCATCTCTAGGGCCGTGCGACCCTTGGAGGTCTTCTCCTTGGGGTCCGCGCCATAACGCAACAGAACGCCTCGAGGGGCCGAAGGAACCCTCGGGCGCCTCTAAAGGGACCTGGGATCACCTGGGATCACCTGGGATCACCTGGGATTGCTGAATTCTTGCGGATTTTTTGGATGAATATCCGCCGGCCCCGGCTGACGCAAGGGGAGCGCATAAGGGAAGAAGAGCCACGTACTACTGCTACTGCTACTGCTACTGCTACTGCTACTGCTACTGCTGCTACTACTACTACAACTACTACTACAACTACTACTACAACTACAACTACAACTATATTATATATTATATATTATATATTATATTAAATAAATATTGTACTAAATATTATATTATATTATTACATTACATTACATTATATTATATTATATTATATTATATATTATAAATAATATTAAATATATATTGTACTAAATATTATATTATATTATATATTATATTATATTATATATTATATTATATTATATTATATATTATATATATACATATTATATATCATATAAAAATACATATTATATATATATATATATTATGTTTTATATATTATATATATTTGTTGTATATATATAAAAACTATATATAAAACTATATATATATAAATATATAACACTATATATATATATTGATATACATATATATATATATATCAATACAGTATATCTGCAAATTGCAAACCCTACTCTAAACGATAAAACTTGAAAACACATCCATAAATGCTTCAAGTGAATCAAAGCCGCTGAGACAATCCCGTTTGGTTGATCCGGTAACGCTGTACATGAGGCCTCCCCATAACCATGGCTACACCCAATAGATTCCAAAAATGTATCCCCGATTGGAGACTGGTTGGTGGTTAAAAAAACAATCTTGAAAAATATGAGTTCGCCAGATGGGATTATTCCCAATTATGGAAAGTCATAAACAATGTTATATTATTCCCAACTGAATGGAAAGTCATGAAAATTCATGTTCCAAACCACCAACCAGATCCTAATACAGTAGTATCCCCGATTGGTCATATGCTGGGAATCTTGAAACAAACCTCGCTACCTCACGCCTTGGTGCATCCCATGAATCGTATCCGTGGTGAATTAAACCGACGTAAAAATCAAGGCAAAAGGCGTGGAAAAAAACCAAAGAGTTATCTATGGAATGTGTATATATAAATGATAGTACCACTTTCTAATCAATAAAGAACAGTCAGTAGAACCACTTTCTAATCAATAAAGAACAGTCAGTAGAACCACTTTCTAATCAATAAAGAACAGTCAGTAGAACCACTTTCTAATCAATAAAGAACAGTCAGTAGAACCACTTTCTAATCAATAAAGAACAGTCAGTAGAACCACTTTCTAATCAATAAAGAACAGTCAGTAGAACCACTTTCTAATCAATAAAGAACAGTCAGTTGATGTTGGTTGATGAATTAATTGGGCAAATCTAAGTCTTTACCGGGAATTTCACCCAGCCACGAAGGTTCTTCAGGTCGCCCAATTCAGCCTCGTCCCCAGGAGTTCGGAGAAAAAAACATCGGGTATTCAACATCTTCATGGATTTTGGATGATTTTGGCGGATTTCAATGGATTTCTAGAGGAAACGATATGGAAAAATACGGAACAGCGTCTTTTTTCCCAACATAGAAGGGCTTTGGCACAGATTTTCCTTTGAGTGGTGCATTAGTGTTCGTTTTGAGGTTCGACGTGGGGCTGTCAGGGGGACGAATTTTGCACCAAAGAAGCTGAGGAAGTTTCACCAACAAGGCACACCAGCAGGATACTGGCCATCATTGAATCATTGCTGTCAGCATCAACACCGATTCGGTGATAATTTCTTTTTATCTTCATGTGGTAAACCCAAGAATTAACCCGTCCCACATGAAAATTATCATCAATTGGTGTGATTCACAACACTTCCCTGGATCCAAATGGTAGCTTCTTTATTATTTTTGCTTACCATATGACATTTTTCTAGAGGTTTTTATTGCTTACCACCCATCCTTTCAGAAACAAAGGAGACCAAGCTGATCCAAGCTGCAGCAACGTGGATGGGGTAGACCTCCTCAGTCTTTGTCCAGAAGAGGCCACAGCCAGCTTTCCCAGTGCGAGGCTCGTGGATGTCCACGCTGAAGCCGTGCGTCTTCAGGAATGTCCGCCTAGACCCCGAGAATCTCATCCCCTGTTGATATTGAAAAAACACAAAAACCCAGTCGGTCCCAAACATATTGGGGCTTTATCCCCTTTTTTTTCTTTTGGGAAATTCTCTGAACCTTAAATGGGATGACATGACATGTAAGTGATGCTAGTTTCAAGCAACTAGTTGGTTGGAGTTACCCTCTGGTTATGACTAACATAGCTATTGAAAATGACCCATTTATAGTGAGTTTTCCCATTAAACATGAAACTTGTTCCATAGCTGTAGCTTTTTGTAAACGTTTACCAGAGGGTACCCCCCCAATTTACCGGGAACAAAGCAGTCACAGTATGGTGACTGAGCCCCAGTCGGGACATCCCAGAGTTTTTCCGTATCCCCAACATAGGAAACACTCAAATGCTTAAAAAACTACCCGGCCTGGGAAACGTTTACAGTTTGCGAACTTGAACATGGCCCATAGACAGTTCGTTGATTTACGCAGAAAAAATGGTGGATCTTTCCACAGTCATGTAACAGTTTACCAGAGGGATGATCACATTCCCAACTGAATGGAAAGTCATTCAAAATTCCAAACTTCCAAACTTCCAAACCACCAACCAGCTTAAAAACTGTCCATCATCAGTTGCTTTCCCCAGACTCTTGAACGTTGATCAACTTGATTCTCCATATTTTCTTGGTGAAAATCCGGGACCCACAGGGAGAGCCCGCCGGCCCCCCAATTCAGAAATGGGGGCGGTTGCAAGGCGCCATTTCCGCGGAAATGGCGCCAGAAAATGGCAGAAATGCATCGTTTCAGTGAGTTTCTGCGACGAAAATGGCACCACTTATGAGCAAAAAAATCTGACCCAGTTATGCAAATGGGAAATTTTGGGGCAGAGTGGCATCCCGCTTAGTCAGTTGGCGGTTAGATACTAACGAACTAGTGAACTGTGACTGAAAACCGGATCTCTCTATGTTGACTAGTCATCTATCTGGGTAAATTATAATATTTCACTAACCTGAATCTTGCGGCCATTTGGGGATGATTCCCCTATAAAAACCATGATTCTCAGGCTTCGGTCGCGACGTGAGGTCGTGATGAATTTTACCCAGATCTATCATATTCCTCGTATGATTGGAAGCCATGTCATGTCCACACTGGATTCATACTCCCTGCCTATTCAGTAAGGGGTTACCCGCTACTTACAGTGGTACAGTACCCCGTATTCATAGTTCATAGGCATCGCTTGATTTTTCGGCAAAGTCCTGGGTGACTTGGAGTTAAGGACACCCCAGAAATAAATGATATATTCATACCATATATAAGGCTTATATAAGGCCTATGTAAGGGAATATCCCGACAAAATATGGCCTGAAAAATGGTACGAACGTACCTCCAATTTAGGATCCTAAAATTCCCATTGATCATAATATTATTCATAGATCTTCCCGGAAGAGATTCCCCAGTCATGGTGGATGATGATGTCCCATTAGGAAAATGTCACAAACTCACCGCAAGCGTTCAACACGATCCTGATCGATTCCAAGAGGCAAGTTTGCATTCTCCACTTGCCTGAGTGGAATGATTTGAAGCACCGAAATGAGGTGCTTCACTGGGGATATCCTTCGGTTGTCCGTGGCTGGGGTTCCCTCCCATGAAAAATTTGGAGGTTTGGGGAAATCATGGGAAATCATCCATGACATCACCAACGATGAGAGATTTTCGTCTGCCCCAAATCCAAAGGGATATATGGGGATAAGGGATAATGATCATTTTCCGGCACAGGGTGGGGTTACTGTATCCCCATTCTCAGACAGATCCTAAGATGTTTTCAGCAATACAGGGGGAGATAACACAAACTACGGCATATGATCTACAAAAATATGCTTGATTCCATTCCTTGATAATAGAGTCATAGCTATGATGCTTCCTTCAGAAGGAGCCCCAGTTCCTGAACAAATGCATGATTTTTGAACCAGGCCTTTGAGAGTGATATTTCATTTTTGGGGCACGGGGTTACTTGCAAAACATAATTTCCATTTGGGATAAATGGATGGGTTTGTGTGGTATGCGATTTACATGGGGGTTTTGGGAGTTATCCATTCCCTCAATCCACCAACCAGTTGCAACAAAAACATCGAGAATCATGCGCACCAATATCGGACCTGCTTAACTAATAAGTACAAAGAAACCTGTGCAACACTTTGCAACACTTTGCAACCCTGGAAATAAAGATTCAACCAACACGAAAACATTTGGAATGCCAGAAACACCATTGGTCCAGGATGGATCCTGAGAATCGTAACTGGACCATTGAGCCATCTGAAAGATGTCACTGGATGATTGGATGGTGATCACTCTCAAATTGGGTCAACATCCTGAAATTCCGGGGTTTTGACAGCAGCTGCAGACATGTTTTTACATGTTGACATGATATTTATTCCCCTTTCCGCTAGGTTGAGAGGTATTCACCCGGCCCAGGGACACATCCCCAGCGACATGTAACAAATCAGGTAGACCCTGTCAGGACATCAAACATCAACCAACATCAACCAAGCATTATTTGCCACTTACCCTCCGGTAGTCAAACATAGGCAAGGAAGACTCACCCATTTATAGATGAGACAGTCTCATGAAAAACCTCCATGTGTAGGGGGATTCTCTATTGACAGGTTTGATCACCGGAAGGTAGATCCCCCTTGCTGGTGGCTAAAACTCGAATTTAACAATTCTTGTAACGTCTTCTGAAGAAACATTGGTACCCCAAAAAGATTGACACACACACACACAATTTGAAAAAAAAGGTCGTCACCCCACCCCCACCAGTTTTTGTAAACTTGCGCATCCTCGCTTAAATCGCTCATGTGTAATCTTCGTTGTCCCATTCTAATTCCTACTGTTGATTGTTCAATCCTACTATTATCCTGTGATATCCCGGGTTAACATTAATAAAACTGATCAGAAATCACCATTGTTGACTAAACCATCTATGCAACCCTCTAAATCCCCAGCTTTTCCATTCACCATTTTAGGTGGGCAACTCCAAGCTGGTTGGTGGTATACCTACCCCTCTGAAAAATATGAAAGTCCAGTTGGGATGATTATCCCATGTATTATGGAAAATTAAAAAAGGTTCCAAACCACCAACCAGTTATTGATGATTTATACCTTTCTCAAATCGCAATTGAGGCTTAGGCTGCCCACCAAAAACTGCTGATAAATTGCCAACAAAGATGGAGCTTTCGTTCGCTACAATCATCAAACTAAATGGATCCCACTCTATTCGTCTATTCATTATAAAGAAAATCATTCCCATCATGGGTAGATAATGAGGTCATGAAAATTTGCATGATTAGTCCGTAATGGGGGTACCAATCATTTCAAAACCATGGCAAAATCAGCTCCATGATTACCTCCATTTTATCTCATTCTTTACTGATTTTGTTTTATCATTAAAAATACCCCTATCCCATCTCATGAAATACTAGTTGAAGATCGTTTCCCTGTCGTAACATGTCGTGTTTCCTTCTGGCACCTCTGCTGCCTCGTTCCATGCCTTTGCTGTGGCATGCTGTGGCTGTGTCAGATCCGTATGTCAAGTTTGTAACTTGAACATTTGTGCCTTTGACTTTTGATGTTCCTGCAACACTTCGCCCCCTTGGAGTGTGCTCATCTTTGCCAATGGCGCATGTCGGAAGATCCAAGGCAAATTGTGAATACCGGTCCAACTTGACCCGAAAAAGACTACTCCTGAAGCGTGCGAGTTCCTTCACTTGGGTATGTCTGAAAATGGGGTATACCCCCAATTATAGCCATTTAGTAGGGATAATCATCAGCAAAACCCTTGGGTGTAGGGGTACACTATTTTCAGACAAACCCACTTCGTTGCAGTTTCAGCAAGCTGTCTTTTTCCTGCGAAGGAACAGACGAGGAAGATGCCATACTGCAGGTTTGAAGAACGGACAATTTTTAAGTTTCGCATAAGAGTCAGAAACTCCAAACCTTTAAAAAAAGCAAAAAAACAAAAAACAACTTAACATAACATCAAAACATGTTTTTGTTTAATTGAAACAACACATATAAGAAAACATTGCACAATTCAGAAACCAACAAAACAAATCAAGAAAACAAAAAACACACAAACCAAACAAGTCAAAAACAAACAATAAAACAAATCACACAAATCTAAAAAAAAAAAAAAACAACATAATATATAGTTAAGGACATACACTTAGAACACAAAGTGTTTTCCATTTTTTTTTTCATACACTTAGAACACCGTTTTGCCCGTTTTGCTGCGGGAGAAATTCGCCCCAACTGTTCTAAGTGAAGGCTTAGAACATGTTCTAAGTGAGCCACTTAGAACATCATCAGAAACGTGTTAGAACACATCTTATTTTTCCAACATGTGTTCTAAGTGTATGTCCGTCCATGTAAAGTAGTCATACAATACAATTGGTAAGGCATATATACAATATTGTATTAAAATGCAGTATAACATAAAATAAAATAGGGTAATATATATAATATAATAAAATATAATCTAATATGATATAATATAATATAATACAATTCTACCCCAAAACACTATATATCTATAACAATATGTTTCAATTGTCTTTTACATGTTATTCAGAAGACATGACGTTTAATTAGGCACTACTTTCATTAGGCACTAAAAAGCCACCAAGATCACGACCCGCTGCCTGAAAGGTTTGGTTCTACCTATAACTAGTAGCACAAAAAAGTATCAACCATTCTCACCAATTTGGGTATTGATTTTCTCTTATTGGAAGTGTTCTAAGTGTGTGGTCCGCCACCTAAGGAAGCCCCACCAAGGAGGCCACCACCATCACGTGATGTTGGTGCCTTCCCTAGGTGGCCAACCACACACTTAGAACACTTGCAAAAAGGAAACAAATTGAAAAGGAACACAATACTCAAGTTGGTGACAGTGTTTGATACACATGCTCTCCGTCCTTCGAGATGCATTAAGTAATTATCAATTTAAAAGGAAATCTAAACACATTTCTGGGCAGATAAGTATTTGTGACATGGGTTTATTTGTTGTTGGCCACTCGAAGGACGGAGAGCATGCGTATCAAACACTTTCACCAACTTGAGTATTGTGTTCCTTTTCAATTTGTTTCCTTTTTGCAAGTGTTCTAAGTGTGTGGTCCGCCACCTAGGGAGGCCACCAACATCACCCAGAAATGTGATTATTTGGTTCTTTTAAAAACAAATACTTTTGAGATGGGGTTAGTTGCTGTTGACCACTGGAGGGATGAAGAACAGGTCTGTCAAACATCCTGACCAGTCACCAACCAGAGTATTAAATGTCTGTTTTTGGAAGTATTCTAAGTGTGTGGTTGGCCACCTAGGGAGGCCACCACCATCACCTAGAAATGTGTTAAAGCGTCCTTTTAAAATTTATAATTACTTGTGTCATACCGGTTTATTTGTTGTTGGCCACTCGACTGACGGAGAGCATGTGTATCAAACACTGTCACCAACTTGAGTATAAATTTCCCTTTTTCCAAGTGTTCTAAGTGTGTGGTTCGCCACCTAGGAAGGCCACTACCATCACCCAGAAATGTTTTTGTTTTTTAGTGTTGTTTTAAAATTAATGATTGCTTGTGGCATGGGTTCTTATTTGTTGTTGGCCACTCGAAGGACGGGGAGAATGTGTATCAAACACTGTCGCCAACTTGAGTATTGCATTTTTCCTTTTTTGCAAGTGTTCTAAGTGTGTGGTTCGCCACCTAGGGAGGCCACCAACATCACCCAGTGCTTATATAAGTTTTCTTTAAAAAAACATACTTGTGAGATGTTGTTAGTTGCTGTTTACTACTCGAGGGATGAAGAAACGGTGTGTCAAACATTCTGACCGGTCACCAACGAGAGTAATCATTGATTTTCTCTTTCTGGAAGTGTTCTAAGTGATTGGTTCGCCACCTAAAAAGGCCACCAACATCACCCAGACATGTGCTTCAAGATGCATTAAGTGTACTTTTAAGATAGATAATTACTTGTGACATGGGTTTATTTGTTGTTGGCAACTCGAAGGACGGAGAGCATGTGTATCAAACACTGTCACCAACTTGAGTACAATGTTCCCTTATTACAAGTGTTCTAAGTGTGTGGTCCGCCACCTAGGGAAGGCACCACCATCACCCAGAAATGTGTTTAAGTTTCCTTTGAAAATTGATAAGTACTTGTGACATGGGTTTATTTGTTGTTGGCCACTCGAAGGACGGAGAGCATGTGTATCAAACAGTGCTACCAACTTCAATATTGTTGTTTTTCCCTTTTGCAAGTGTTCTAAGTGAGTGGTTCGCCACCTAGGGAGGCCACCAACATCACCCAGAAATGTGATTATTTGGTTCCTTTAAAAACAAATACTTTTGAGATGGGGTTAGTTGCTGTTGACCATTGGAGGGATGAAGAACAGGTCTGTCAAACATCCTGACCAGTCACCAACCAGAGTATTAAATGTCTGTTTTTGGAAGTGTTCTAAGTGTGTGGTTCGTCACCTAGGGAGGCCACCACCATCACCTAGAA